TGGCAAAGGAAGAAAGCCAGAATAAGGTTGAAGAAAATTGGGGTTTTGACTTATTAGAGGGGATTTCATATTATTAATTAGAGGGTTAAAAGGAGAAGTTGAGATAAGGGGAATTCTGGTCATTAGATTTAAATACTTGGAAATTAGTTGAAAATAACGACTTTATCTGTTTAATATTTAAAAGTTAGACCTAAAAGGAAAAAGAAAATTAATTATTATGAATGTTTGATTTATTGATTAACTCAGGTAATATACATAATAGTTTTGATTTATTAAAGGACATATTGTATTATTAATAGATGATTTAATATGGTGGGAAATAGATAACTCTTAGGAAATAGAACAGGATTACACTCAAATAGATAAAATGTGTACTTTGGATATTAGATTTTGTTATGAATTGAGACAAGGAAAATCTTGGTTACCTAAAGCCTGAAAATTATAAATATCAAAGGTTAAATTGGAATATTGATGAGAAACTAAAAATTGGGTAAAAATTAATAACAGAATATGGATTGTTTATGAAGATTGAATATAATTAAGATACGTATAAGCTAAAATTTATTGATAAATGTAATAATGATGTTTTTACTGAGTTGATATAATAAGAACTGTATTAACTTGAATACGAGACAGTAAATGTTAAGGAAAAAAGAGAAGAAATATTTGATGTTGTAACTTGAGATTTGTACTAAAGATTTTGTTATCAAACTATTGATTAACCCAGTCACAATGTTGCTTTTTAAATACTTAAATGTAAGATTGGAAAATTAATAAAATACTATTATTAAAAAAAAGATCCTGTGTATTCCAGTTGTCTCCCTATTTTCCTGTTTTTCATTCTAATGCATTCAGGAGGGGAAAAGTGGTTTATGAACCTACAGATTAAATATATTGTAGTATATTTCTCTAAATATGTTCATAAAAATGGCTCCACACCAGTAAGGTTTTCCACAATGGTGGTGGAAATAAAACAATTTGCTGTTGTTTTCACACCTTGCATATAATACTAATAAGTCTTGCCAGACACAAGAAAGAATTCAGGCCAATTTCTTTTTCTCATGTTGTGACCAAATGAAAAAAAAAATCACAGATGTAGCAAATATTTAACTAATAAAGTTTAACAGAGCTGCCAGGGCAGAGATAAAAAAAAACCAACCATGAAAAACCTATAGTGATCAGGTGAACATTTATTGAAGACCTGTTGCCTTTCTAATTAATTGCTGAATTTTAATAGAGCAGATACTATTTGCATATGAATGGATTTTAGTTTATGTGTCTCTGAATGAGAGACAGTTTGGGCTAATCACCAGAAGGCTAGAGTTTTAGTTCTGCCTTAGGCATGTAGCCTGCTGGTTGACTTTGGCAGAGTCACTGTTTGTCAGCCCTAGAAAAAAGGCAATGGCAGACCCCTTCTGAAAATATTGCCAAGAAAACTAAAGTTGTTATAAATCAAACATGACTCAAATGCACACTCAATCAATCACTGTTGGATGGAACAGCAAGCAATCAGAGCAATACAGGATAGCAGCTCATCATGATTTCAGGTAGTTTTCTCATCCTATGCATATCTTAAATGGTCTGGGCAAGACGATAGGGTATCTAAATTGCTTATTATTCCCTGATATTCAAAATATCATTCAAGATACTCTTCCATACTGCCACTTTGCTTTGTTACTTAAAAACCTTTTAATTATAGACATGAAGTGATCACTAAGCTGTGTTCTCTTCCAAGTCAACAGCGAGAAGTCTAAAAACCAGATTCCATGAGTCTCAAATAAGTAATATTCTTCTTACTGTAAGGAATTACCAATGAAGATCAAAACTGAACAGTGCAATCCAGCCATACATATTGTTTCCCCCAAAAGAATTTAAATATTTATTTACTGATACCCCATCACTAGAACCCAATTACAAAAAACATGCATTGGCCCAGAAATCATTAAATGCTTTGTTTAAAAAAAGTGATGAGAAATATAGAATACGTTCATTGAATGAAGACGCTGCCAATTGATGAGACATTGACTGTTAACCCGGACAGCCAGATTTCATGCTTCACACACCAGCGGAAAATATTGAAACAAAAAGCCAAACCTATCTTAGAGTCTTACATAACACTTGGTATATTTCTCAAATTCAGTGAAATATTTTATAACATTAAGATCATACAAATAGTGAGAGATATGTGGGTTTTTAAAAGGAACCCAGAATGTGTAACTAGTAAAAAGTAATACCAATGCGAAGTAAAGAAAAACCTGAATCTATATATGTATAGCATATACTTTTAAACAAATGGTACTGAACTCTAAGATAGATGGATTGATAATTCAGAAAGATAATAATTTGCATAGTAAATTGTGGCTGATTTAGCTTAGGCCAGTGTGGAGACTAATAGCTGTACACTTTTTTTTCAAAAAGTGAGAAAATAGTACCCTGAATTTATAAATAACAGTATGTGGTATAATATCTTCTCTTTTGTACAAAGATACATATTTTTCCATGATACATCTAACAAATAATAAATAGATTGAACATAAATTATACAGAAGCAGAAAGTTGGACTTACAAGTCCCAGATTAGCAGAAAGCATCTATTTGTTTTTTCCCCCAGATCTCAATTTTTCCTATCTTGGGACATTTTCCAATCTTTACATAACTTGACTGAACAAAACTATCCTTTAAATGCAGTCAGACTATATTAGTTCTTTATGCATTTTGGATTTGTATTCTATATAGAAATCTATCTTAGAAGCAAACATTATCCTCTGGCTATTTTGCTAAGCAATCAGCCAAAATCATAGGGATTTTTAATAGGCTGTTTGCACTACACAAGGGCTGGCAAATTCTGCCTTCTCTATTTGGATGCTGAGGTTAAAACAACCTAGGGATTCATTAATTCTCAATTAACTATCATCGTCCTCCAGAGGAGGGCCTTTCACAATCTGACTTTTGATAGTACAGTATGAAGCACTTCATGCTGAAATAATCACTTCTGCAGCTTCATTAGGAGTTCAGTCATTGGTGTATATTTAAAACAGATGTAGCATATAGCTCTCTACTGTATATGGGGTCGAAACATATGCTCCTCTGTTCAAAGAGAACTACAGCATGCTCTGCTCTTGTCATTTTCATTCTCCATTTCCAGGGTTCTAAACTAGAATCAGCACACGGCAAGAAAAAGCATGTTTTCCTCAGTCAAATTGCTGTGGAACATGTTGCACTATGCCAGTAGATGTTTTTTTTCAGTACAACAGCAATAAATGGCCACTTGTAGAGGAACAGACATTTATGAAAAGAAATTCCACAGTCTGGGATTCTACTTCTCTCCCACACTTCTTGGCTTTCCTAAACCCCAAATACAGAACAAAAAAGTAAATATATAGTCAAGCAGAAAGTTAAAGTCATGAAGGACTTTTGTTCATTTGAATTCCGCATTATAACTGAGAACAAAAAGGAAGCATAACTTGCAAGAGGAAAGAAATAATTGCTCTTTCTCTCTTTCTCTCTCTTTGGAGAATGATATAGGTTTCTTTTATCAATAGTAGAAAGAAAAGAGTATACATAAGGGTATTTCAGCATATGCTTCCTTCCGGTGGACATATAAAATGAAGAAGAGGTTAAATAAAAATGCAGCAAAATGGTTTTTTTTTTAAAAAAAACAACACAAAACAACAACCCTCAGATCTGAATTGGGAAAACCAATCTGCTTGTCTCTGTCTATATTTTATGTAACTGAATTTTGCATGGGTCTGAGCTATATTATAGAAGCACACTCATTCCTGAAAGATGCATCTGATATCACAATAGATCTGTGGGAATAGCTGAAAAAGTTTTTAACTATGCTCAGAGTGAATTTGGACCTTTAAATGCCATCCTTGTGCTCTCAAGCAGAAGAGGTTAGCTAACTTTATTCTTCCTACTTGCATGTCTGTGTTATGGAGATTACAAGCTCTTCTTGTTCATTCCTACAGCTCCAAAATTTCATGTGAGCATGATCTGCTCTGGCACATTACACAGATAGCCATCAGGAAGATGCATTAAAAAGGAATGATGTTTGCAAAGGACCAGGCAAATGAATTCTTACAACATACGTGGAAACAGATTCCAAGTTTGGAACACAAAAATGAAGTTTCGTATCTGTGTAATGCTCTCAGGCTTCTCCCAAATAATATGTAGGTGAAATTCTTGGAACAGCTTTGTAATATAAGTCAACTTAATATCCATAAATTACAATTAGGGAAGCTGAGAATGAGAGAGTGACTTCATAAGGATGCCTAGTGATTTCATGGCAAACAATGAATTTGATTCAGGGAATTCAAAGGTTGCAGCCTAAACCCACAGCACAATACCCCATCCATTCTAAATAAAGTACAAAGTGGTTTACAGTCCTTATTCAATACATAGACACTCACAATATATTTTAAAATAACTATTATTTTGCTAATATACCAAAACAGAGTGGTAGAAACGGGTCAAAAATATGGCATAAATTAGTGTAACGCCACTGTAACTTCAATACTGGGTAAAAATCTAGAACTGATTCACTAACTTCTAGAATTGAACGGTCTATGAGCAAACAGGGTTTGTACATTCCACCATTAAACTAATGGATGGCAACTGATATAATCTACACTACAAACTTAATCTGGTTAAGACTCCTCAAATATGGTCCTCTTTGAGGAGTGTTTGGGATCTCTTAGCATTATCAGTGATTCTCAGGGAAAGACAATGATTAATTAAATGGTAGAACACTAAAGTAGATGTGTACTTTGAATATGATTTATAGGTATTAAAAGTGAAAAAGAAAACCAGCCTGGGTGGTATAGAAATGTTGATTTCACTTTCTGAGATTAACAGATTAAATATCTCATACTTTCCTGTAATGTTTGAGTCCTCTATCTTGAGCCATTTATTGAGAGTGTTAACAATAATCATGTAAGACATCACCTGATCAAAGTTTGATACCTGACTTTGGTGTATGAGAATCATAAACTTGCTTACGGTCTATCTGGTCTGCAAACACTTCCCCATAGATCATCCAATAGGGCATGTAAAAAATATTTTTTGCCAGTTTCCATGATGGCTCTTCGTTGGGGAAGAGGATTGCTTGCCTGGCAACACCAAAACTCATTAGCACCACCAGCATAATAATGACAAAATACATCATGTCTATCATCTGAAAGAAAAGAAAAAAATTGACAAGAGACAGAGAGAGACAAAAAGCCACTTTATTCTGCAGAATTGTTCAACTTGTCTATAAAGCAGTGGTTCTCAACCTTCCTAATGCCGCGACCTTTTAATACAGTTCCTCATGTTGTGGTGACCCCCAACCATAAAATTATTTTCGTTGCTACTTCATAACTGTAATTTTGCTACTGTTATGAATCGTAATGTAAATATCTGATATGCAGGATGTATTTTCATTGTTACAAATGGAAAAAAGTGATAAAGTACAGGTAGTCCTTGACTTATAACAGTTTGCTTAGTGACTATTCAAAGTTACAACGGTACTGAAAAAAATGACTTATGACCACTTTTCACACTTATGACCATTGCAGCATCCCCAGGGTCATGTGATTTACATTTCAATGCTTGGCAACTGATTCATATTTATGATGGTCATATTGTTCCAGGGTCATGTGATTGCCTTTTGCAACCTTCTGACAAGCAACGTTAATGGGGAAACCAGATTCACTTAGCAACCATGTTACTAATTTAATCTCTCTCTCCCTCTCTCTCTCTGTCTCCCTCTTTCTTTCTCTCTCTCCCCCTATTTCTCTCTCCCTCTCTCCCTTTCTTTCTCTCTCCCTCTCTCTTTCTCCCTCCCTCTCCCTTTCTTTCTCTCTCCCTCTCTTTCTCTCCCTCTATTTCCCTCTTTCTCCCTTTTTCTCTCCCTCTCTGTCTCCCTCCCTCTTTCTCTCCCCCTCTCTCCCTCTATTTCCCTCCCTCCCTCTCTCCTTCTCTCTCTCCCTCCCTCTCTCCCTTTCTTTCTCTCTCCCTTTCTCTCCCTTTCTTTCTCTCTCCCTCTCTTTCTCTCCCTCTGTCTCCCTTTCTTTCTCTCTCCCTTTCTCCCTCTTTCTCTCTCCCTCACTCTTTCTCTCTCCCTCTCTCCCCCTATTTCTCTCTCCCTCTCACCCTCTCTCTCTCTTTCTCCCTTTCTCTCCCCCTTTCTGTCCCTCTCTTTCTCTCTCTCCCTCTCCCTTTTTTTCTCTCTCTCCCTCTTTCTCTCTTCCTCTCTCCCTTTTTCTCTTCCTCTTTCCCTCCCTCCCTCTCTCCCTTTCTCTCCCTTTTTTTCTCTCTCTCTCTCCCTGTCTCCCTTTCTTTCTCTCTCCCTTTCTCCCTCTTTCTCTTTCTCTCTCTCCCTGTCACTCTCTTTCTCTCTCTCTCTCCCTCTCTCTATTTCTCTTTCCCTCTCTTCCTCTCAAAGATCTTCCTCTTAAAAGTTATGCTTGGGTGGAAGACTTTTTCTTTTACAGATGGGGTGGGTTGGCAGACAAGTACTCCCCCCCAAAAAAGGAAAAAAAGTGTGAATAGGCGCCCAGTAGCTAGCTTGAAGTTTGAATGACTTCTTTCTCTTGCCACCGGCTTCTAGAAGGAGCAAAAGACATCCAGCATTGCAACCAGGCGCCCTGGACTGGCCATTCCAGGGCTTCCTGCACCAGCTGACTTAGTTGTCTGCAACCTCCTGTTGTCGCTTGAGGGGGGGGAAGGGACATGGGCAGGAGAGATTCCTTCTTTCTCATCCGAGGAGGGAAGTTATGTTGGACCGTCGACTCTGTGTTTAGCCCCATGGTCCGACATTTGCAGGTAGGCGGGAACCTGCCTGCTGAGCCGCTACCTCCCCATCGGCCTCCATGCTGACCGGCTCTGTCGTCAGACCTTCCAGCTGACAAGCGCACATTCAGGGGGTTGCCAGCTGACGGGTGCAGAAGATTGAGCCGCGGCGGCCTCCCAGCCACCCGCTTCTTCGGCTGGAGCAATTGCCAGGGCTTGCATGGTTGCCAGCAGCAGGGAGCGCGTCAGCAGCCATTGGGGATGCCAGCGGTTCTGTGCCACAGAGGCTTGAGGCGCAGGACGTGGAACGGCGCGGTGCTGTGGGAAGTGGCAGGACAGGGGGGAGGGGTTACCTGCATCCTGCCGGCCGAACTCTGAAAGCCTGCCTGAATGAAGAATTTTAGAGGGAGTTAAAAGTGAGACAGGTTCCTAAGACCATCGGAAATATGTGTTTTCCGATGGTCTTAGATGACCCCTGTGAAAGGGGTCGCGACCCACAGGTTGAGAACCGCTGCTATAAAGCATAATGGTCAAATGATTTAAGCATCCGCCTATATTAACACACTATGTAAACTGCTTGGCTTGTCATGGTAATCTTCAAGTACTTGGGCTGGATCTTTGGCTATTACAGTATTATGTTCCGTTAGTGTCAAGATCTTTTAATCATGCAACTCATAATAGAAATATTATGAGAAATATTACATTTAAAATGGTACAGATGTTGTCTTTCCATATATAGCCCAAAGGCAGCAATACACATTCCAAAATAAATACAAATGTTGTGGATTCATTGGAACTATTATTGGTTGTTTCTGCTTCTGTTTGTTTCCAACTGAACTAATAAAATCTCATCTACCTACCTACCTACCTACCTACCTACCTACCTACCTACCTATCTATGTATGCACACACACACATGCACAGGTAAACATTATGTGACTTTCAGTTTTAGTACTGAGAAAACTAGCCCAATGCATAGCAACTTCTTGTTTTTTTGTTCTTGGATTAGACCAGTGGTTCTCAACCTGTGGGTTGGGACCCCATTTGGGGTCGAACGACCATTTCATGGGGGTCACCAAACAAGGCTGTCCGCCATTTTTCCCCCTTTTCTTTGGCCGCGCCCCTGGCACCCGGTAATGTATAAGTGGTTGGGGGTCACCACAACATGGGGAACTGTATTATGGGGTTGCGGCATTAGAAAGGTTGAGAACCACTGGATTAGACAGACATGGAGTCAAAAATTTCACTTATATCATTACTGAGGTGCTCCTAACTTTCAACAAGTGCCAAATCAAGTAATACCATTTAGAACTTTCTTATTGCATCAACACAGCCATAATATGTTTGAGTGGAAGCTGGGCATATATTTTATTATGAGGAATTAATTGCTGCACATGAATGTGTGAATCAGCTCTAAATTTTACTTTAAAGTCTCATTACCAGGTCTACTCTAGTATGTACTAACCTGCAAACCTTATATTTCTATCACTCCTGGTAAAATTCCATGTTTCTACATTTCTGTGAGAATGTGATGTGATATAAATTTCAAGTATTGCTGAGGAACCCATCTCACTCCATCTCAAGAATGCTTTAATGCTTTCTTTGTAAAGTAATCAAAGATTAAATATGCATGATAATAAAATAGATGCATATGGATTGCCCTTTTTGATATGCATGCAAAAAGAAATGTTTTCCCCCCCTGTGCAATGGGTATGGGACTATGGATTGTATTTTGGCCTATGGCCTATGCTACAATTAGCACTATATCAAATGAGTCAGTTAACTAAGCTGCTTTGGTAGATGTTGGAATAAATCAACATGCCAATGGTGTTCAAATGGTGCTCCAGATGTTTTGAAATTGCACTCAAGGTGCCTTTTATTAGTAGTGCTATTTTTCTTTTGCCACAGTCATTCTACTTCCATTTTCAGGTCTTTGCATTTTGTAATTTTTTTTCCAGTTTTTTTGTCTATTCTGCTGTTTCCAAGTATTTCTTTGTTGTTGTTGTTGTTGTTACCACCCTGACTCTGGTTTCATTAAATAACTCAGTTTTATATTAGATTAAATATCCCAGTTTTATATTTATTGGTTTTCCTCACATCTCAACCCCTTAATCTTATCGATCCTACTGAAATGTTTTGTTCCTGCATAATTCTATACTAGACATGCAATGAAAGCTCTGTGATAAATAAAGAAATTCCAAAATAACGAATAGGGGTGTTAAGATATTTGTTGCCATTTAAACTACTCCATCTCTTAAATAGCAAAAGCAGACTTGAATTATCTTAATTTTTATCTCAGTTCCATCTATGAGATCCATGTCACCTTAGTGAAATGTGAAATCTGTATCCCATAACTTAGCAACCTTTCCCATGCTTCCCCTATAAGTATAGACTGTGATTACTCCCACTATCCTAGCCTATATGCAAAATAGATTAGGGCTATTTTTATTCCATTCCCAGATATTCATAGTTTGAGTGACATTTGAATGTATCTGTATATGTTTTTAAAAAAACAACCAGTGATTATAATGCTGCTAACAATTTTAGACTTGTGGTCCAAATTCATAGAACTTCCATAGAATTCTGTCTGAATAACAAATAACTATGACAAGGAAAAGAAAAAAATGCAAAAGCCTTGCCATTAAAATATGTCTTTTCTCATACTGAATACTATGCTATAACAAAAGGAAGCTGCATCTCTCAGAGAAGTACTTAAGAGATGCGCTCAAAATTCACCCTAAAGTTTGTACGAAACTAGTACCACCTGCTACTGTTTTCGCTTATAACATGCAGAACAAAAAAGAAGGATGGGTAACTTTTTCTTACCATTTTTCCAATCATCATTACATATGGCCCCAAATATTTGTTCACCCCGAAGATGTCTAACAATCGGATATACCAGTAAATAATGTTGACACAATATATGACACGACCATCACTCCTGAGCGGCAGATCCTGGAGGCGAAGCACCATGCCCACCGAGAATAAGAGGATGGCAATAAGATCGGTAACATTCCAGTATTCTTGAAGCCACACCTTCACCTTCTGCAGTAGTTTCCCAGGTTCTGACATTAATATCTAGAGATGGAAAAGGAATAGCTTTGGGGTCAAAAATAATAGAATGAATGATTTGACAACTATATCCTGATCTATAATTTCACAATCTATTCACAGGACTACCAGAAGCCTTATGGAATACGGACATAAGGGAGCCAGCTAAGTAAGGCAATGTGAAAAAGCTTACTTGGTTTTGTAATAGAGTTTTAGAATACAAAGAGCTAAGGGACTCTTGACTCTCTCCCCCCCACCTCTTGTCATTCAATTTATATGATCTGTATTTGAGGTCTATTCCTATCCTTAGTACTGACTCTGATATACATATACAGTATGTATGTATGTGCGTATGTATATGTATATATATCCTGAATACCATGTACAGTATCGTTACTGTACAAAAAAAATATTTCAGGATCTTCTTGCAATTTGCCTTGTAATCCAGAGAATTTGCAGCTAGAACCAAGCTTTTGAATGCTTTATGAAAACAAACAGAGGCCATTGCATGAAGACAAGAATGCTTTGTCTATTTACATCCCTGCAAGCTAGCTCTATCAGATCATGAGTCTGAAGTACTAGTGTCTTATTTCTTTTTTGTTGTACAAGGTGAGTATCATAATTAAAAAGTGTGACTGAAAGATACAAATGTTGGTAAGTTCCTCAAATCAGGCATACACTAACATTACTTTTATTATGGCTTTTTCCAATCTGGTGTCTTCTGAAAGTGTTGGATATAATACATGCTACTCTGAGGCATTTTTCTGAGTAAATATGCATTTCAAATTTTCCCTATTGGGAAACATACAAATTATTTGCAGGGGAAAGAACTACTGCATTACAGATAGGCACATTAAAGTTCACTGTTAAATTTTACTTATTGACATACTGTAAAATCTTATGACTTGTGGTGGTTTTACAAAAAATTAAATTAGCGATCAATACTCAGTTAAATAAAATCAATTTGTATATACAGTTCTGTCACAATAACTATAGGTGCCCATAGATATCAGAAAATTCTTAAAGGTTATACAGTAGTTTGCTTAAAAGGAAAGAGAAACTACTGTGGTCACTGGATTGGACTCTAAATGTCAGTTCTAGGAGTCTTGTATTCCACTGGAAGTTTTGCAAACAGAAACAATGTGGCTTTTTTTTTCTGTTTTCCTTTCCGGGTGTAACTTCCATTATTTTAAAGCATCTCAATCCTTCACAGCACCTACCACAACACCATCCAAAGCCAGAAAAAAACCCATATTCTGTTGATGAGAGTATCTTATCGTCTTATTTACAGTAACAGATTGATCTTTAGGAAAAACCTCAGGGAACAGCTGTATTTAGAATAGTATTACCTCTCTCATCTTTTCTATTCCCATTGTAAATATGTATGAGATAACTATCCACTCTTGCATGGAAGGCCAACGTTCCATTTTCACCAAAACGATATAATTAAACAGCATCAGGTACCCAATGTAAGACATCTGTAAAGAGAGAAACCCAGTTTATCTGCCTACAGGAATTAAGTGTTCAGCTGATTCTTTATTTTTAGAAATAAAAAAAGTTCTCCTACAAGAAGGCTAATTTTTAGTTAAAGAATTCATTATGAATACAAGAGTTTCACTGCATAGTATGGAATCCTATTCTTAGGTTTTATGAATTTATTTTAAAAGAGTGTACAATTCCTTTACTGCAAGCAAAGCAAATACATCGTTGCCTCGTCTCTTTAAATGAATATAAGAAGCAAATCAGTTCATGAAGAAACATAATCAGTGCAAAAATTTAACTTTAACAATTTAAACCCAATTCAGTAGATTTTTATAAACTTAGTAAAAGGGCATATAAAGACCACCACTCTAAATCTATGAAGAGTAGTTATACAATGTAAACAAACTGAATAATGAAGCCTTTACAAATTAGGGTCACTAGAGGTAAAATGATAATTGCTCCTTACAGTATAGAACCAAAATTTAACAATTGGTGCATTGTAGAACTCATAGATTTTATGTCCAAAGGGGATCAATCTATGTCTGTTTTGAACCTCCTCTTCCTCCTTCTTTCTTGCTGATGACTCTCCATTGCTACGTCCCAACATTGCCTATAAAATAAGAAAACATTGAATAAGTGGATGAGAGGAAGCCAAATAGAAATAAATGTAATTTGATATTCAGTATTATAATAAAGAAGCTGAATAAAAATCAATACTGTATTGAAATACTGACTGCATTTTCAAATGGTAAACCAGTATCGTATCAACAAACAAAATCTAACTTCAATTCACAAATTTCTTGGAATACGCAAAAGGATTGCTTCTATTTGCTTGTTGATTTGTCATTCTCAGGATTAGTGGGTTTGAATCAGGAAAAATGAAAACATACAACAATGAGTGGAAGGACCACAGGACTGACAATTGTAGTGTTGGAATAGCAACATAACAGGATCTGAGTGGTTGTGAAAGATACTTATTTCCTACTTCACATTTGGATCCAACGTTGTGAGCTACAAGAACAGCATCTGCCAATAGAACCAATCCTATCTCTCCTTTTCATACGTCCCCCCAAAAGTGTGGAGTAAGACAACCATTTGGTGACAGCAAAAAATTAAGAGTTTTCAATATCTCTTTATTGCCACCTACTGCCTATCTGTAGTTTTGCACTCCAGATACAATAGCCATGCATGGGAGAATATCCTGAAACAGATTTAGGGCATGTTAAAAGAGTGGAAGATAGACTTGAATGAAGAAAATTTTTGTAGAAGTGTAGTCTTAATCAATTTCCTATCATTTAGTGATGATCCTTATTTTTATATATCAGGTATGTTAGCTCTACTAATTGGATGAAACTGAATATGGTCCTAATTTTTTGATAAAATGGAATGATATTCCTTAGTGTTTCACAGAGAACTCCAAAGTTTTTTCTTTAACAAGTGAAGAGAGTAATGTATGAGAAAACAAAAGAAATAGTCTTTCAGAACCAAGAGAACACTCAAAAGTATTATCGGTATCCTTCACTGATTTAGATCATTGCGATGTAAAATGAAATTCTTTTAAAATTATTTATTTCATCATTATAATATCTATAATAAATAATTATGATTAATAATAAATCATTGTTAATGGTATATTTACCAAGCTGAATTGAGGCAATTTAGGAAGATAATGTTTGATCTGTTGGAGGGAGAAAATGGCCTGCAACTAAATATATTTGCTAAAAGAAAAGATTGCAGTTTTCTAATCTTACTCTTTACCTATTTATTTATTGGAAATGTTTTGCCAATTTGTTTCCCCCCCCCCAGCTAATTTCCTCCTATAAAGATGCAAGAGGCTTTTTAAAGGTCATGACAGTTTTGTAGAGAGATTCACTTGTTATCATAGAAAAGGGGCAAAGTTAAGATTGGACGCAATTTGTTTTCAGGAATGTTGGCAGAATATATCTTTAAAGGTGTTGTAAATTAATTTTAATTGCGGAATTTGTATTTTAAATTGTATTATTGCTTTGGTTTATTTTGATGCATTTATAAGATAGCATAGTAATGAATAAGTTGATTAATATATTACTTAGGTTAAATAATTAAAATCTTAACAATGCTAAATATTCTTATTATAAATCCAAGACTGCAAATCATGTGAGGTCACCTTATTCGAGATTTAAAAGGATATTCTTGTAATCCCTTCCAGACATATTTAAAATTTCAAGAATTTTTTCGATTATTCTACATCAAAAAATAAAGAAAATCTTTAATGAAAAATTGTTTGCAATGAAATGATCCTGCTGTATATTACATGAAAGAATTGGTGGAAGTCAATCCATGGTTTATACCTGGTCAAATTGTCCAAACAAAATGCAAATATAATTAAATAATATGATAAGATTAAAAATGTGAAAAAGTATTATAATGTATAATTATATTTAATTTATGACTTCAACTATTAGTATTTATAAAAATGTGTAGATTTTTATCATAAAGTTTGGATTTTTTATTTTATTTTTTACAATAAAAAAGCAAAGTAAAAAAAATAAAAATGAAGTTATAAAAACAAAAACATAAACAATATGAGTAATCCCCCCCCCACACACCAAAGTGTGTATCTGTGATCTTGTGAAAAGATACATTTTAAAGATTCATATTCAATATTTCTACCTAGAATAACATTTATATAAGTAAAGGTAATTATGAGTCTTTCTTTCTTGAATAGTGATATTTAACATAACTGGGTATATACATCCTTAATATGTCTTGTCTGAAATAATATCTGGATTAAAAATTGGTCAATGAAAATTAGAGACTATTTTGAGGGTATGGCTTGGCTGAGGGATAGCCAATGCATAGAATGACTGAACTGTTTCTTATGTGTGGGAGGTTAGAATTTCTGAGTAATACTTTTGAAAAATATTTTAAGTAGTAATAGATTTTCAACAATTAATCAGATTTCTAATACTTTATGTATGTTGTAGTCTAGTATCATAGATTATAGAACAGATTTATTCTTGTGATTAAAATTGTTGAGAAATGGAACTAAAATCCTAATATCATTTAAAACTAAAAGTATGTGCCTAATCAAAAGCTACACATGGGAAAGTATATTATAATAATGACATTAAGATTATGTAAATGAATTCAGTAATAGAATCCTTTATCATCCATCTACCAATGTCTTTGTTTCAGTTAATGAGTGACAATAGCCAGATGATATTGCTTAATTGAGGGGACCTAAAAAAATGGAGTTTGTCTGATCACATAGTGGATAAACAGTCCTTATAACAGACAGATGGCCCTTCAGATAGATACCTATGTCACATAGAGCTTCACAGATAATAATCAGCATCTTGTTTTGCACTCAGAAGCTTACTGGTAAATAGTGTAGCTCATGATGCAGAAAGCATAGCAAAGTCTATTTGGCACTACTTATGCCACCACAATCTGGGCCAGCTGGAGCTTCAAGTTATCTTCAAGGGCAGCACATAGCAATAGTTTACCTGCGAGATGGTCAAGGAATGAGTGATTCTAAGAGCCTCTCCATTTAAGAATATGTGTGAATGTCATGTACAGGGGCTTTTCTGACCCTAGCTGTTATTTGCTCATTATGCAGGAACACATCAAGATTGTATACAGCCCAGTATGGGGGAATTTGTGCCATTGGGGATCAAAGGGTGAAAATCCTCAGAACCAGAAAGTTAAAAGACACAAAGCCATTTAGTCTTGCTACAGTTAAACTTGAATCCATCCAAACTTCAACAGTCTCCAATTGCTGGAATAAGACCTTGATAACATCCTTGGTCAACTGAGCATTGAGGTATACAATTTAGTAATGTCTGCATATTGAGCCAATAGATAGAATAGAATAGAGCTAGAAGGGACCTTGGAAGTCTTCTAGTCCAGCCCCCTGCTCAAGCAGGAGAACCTATACCATCTCAGACAAGTGACTGTCTAGTCTCTTCTTAAAAATCTCCAGTGATGGAGCATCCACGATTTCTGGAGGCAAGCTGTTTCACCAGTTAATTGTCCTCACTGTCAGGAAGTTTCTCCTTAATTCCAGGTTGTTTCTGTCTTTGATCAGTTTCCAACCATTGTTTCTCATCCTTCCCTCTGGTGCTTTGGTGAATAACGTGACCCCCCTCTTCTTTGTAGCAGCCCCTCAAATAATGGAATACTGCTATCATGTCTCCCCTATTTCTTCTTTTCTTAAACTAGCCAAAACCAAGTCCCGCAGCTGTTCTTTGTATGTTTTAGTCTCCAGACCTTTGATCATCTTAATTGCTCTTCTCTGAATTTTTTCCAAACTCTCAACATCTTTTTTGTGATATGGTGACCAGAAATGGCTGCAGTATTCCAGGTGTGGTCTTACTAGGGTTTTATAAAGCAGTGCTAATACTTCACATGATCTTGATTCTAGGCCTCTGTTTATACAACCCAGGATTGTATTAGCTTTTTTGGTTGCTGCTGCACACTGCTGGCTCATAGTCAAGAGATCGTCCACTAGGAATCCAAGGTCCCTCTCACAGTTACTGTTTTTAAGCCAGGTCTTGCCCAATCTGTATTTGTACCTTTCATTTTTCCTGCTTAAATGTAAAACTTTGCTTTTCTCCATATTGAAACTCATTTTGTTGGATAGGGTCCATTGTTCAAGTTTGTCAAGATCTTTTTGGATCCTGAGTTCGTCTTCAGGGGAGTTGGCTACTCCTGTCAGTTTGGTGTCATCTGCAAATTTGATGAGTTTCTCTTCAATTTCCTCATTTAAGTCATTTATGGAGATATTGAAGAATACTGGGTCTAAGACGGAACCTTGTGGTACCCCGCTGCTTACTTCTCTCCATGTGGATGTGGTGCCATTGAGGACTACTCATTGAATATGGTTTGCCAGCCAGTTACAGATCCATCTGGTGGTAATGTTGTCTGTTCCACCTTTTTCTAGCTTACCAAGGTTGTGGTTTACTTTATCAAATGTCTTACTGAAATCTAAGTATAGATTTCCATAGCATTTCGCTGGTCTACTAGTTTAGACACTTTATCGAAGAATGAAATAAGATCGGTTTGGCATTATCTGTTTTTAACAAACCCGTGCTGGCTACTAATTATAAATTTGTTTGCTTCTACTTGTTCACAGATCTGTTTTTTATTATCTTTTCTAGGATCTTCCCAGGTATTGATGTTAAACTGATAGGTCTGTAGTTTCCTGGGTTCTTTTTCCCCCCTTTCTTGAAGATGGGAACCACATCAGCCCTTTTCCAATCCTCAGGTACTTCTCGGTGCTCCAGGATTTATAAAAGATGTGGTGTAATGGTTTTGAGATAACATCTGCCAGATCCTTCAGAACTTTGGGATGTAATCTGTTGGGTCCCGGTGATTTATACTTATCAAGGTCAGATAGGTGTTCTCTTACTAATTTCTTGCTTATTTTAATTTTTGTTTCTAGTTTGTCTTTTTCAGTGGTTTTTTTTTTGGCATGTTGGGCTATAGTCTTTTTGTGTGAAGACTGATGCAAAGTATGAGCTAAGCAGTTCTGCTTTCTCCCTATTGCCTGTTATTTCCTTGCCATCTTCTCTCTTTAGTGGACCTACAGTTTTCTTGACTTTTTTCTTGTTGTTAATGTGTTGGAAGATTTTTTTTTTAAATTATCCTTGATTTCTGTTGCAAGTCTTTGTTCATTCTGAGCCTTTGCTTTCCTGACTTCATTTTTGCATATGTATTTGTCCATTTTGTCTTTCAGTTTGTCAGAGAGATCTTTGTTCAGCCATGCTGGTTTCTTCTTGAATTTCTCGTTTTTCTTTAAGTGCTATTGTGCCGGTCTGATCGCATTTTTCAGTTTCTTGGGTTGTTTTCCCTTTTAGGATTTTCATCCATGGGATCTTTCCTAGGTTCTCCCTGAGTTTGTTAAAGTCAGCTCTTTTGAAGTTTAAGACACTGGTTGGGTTGTTTTCTATTGCTAGTGTTTGCATTATATTAAATTCCAGTATGATGTGGTCACTTTTACCCAAGGTTCAGGCAATTTCAATTCCCTCTATCACTTCCTCTCTATTAGCAAGGATTAAGTCCAGTATAGCTTTACGTCTAGTTCCCACCTCCATCTTTTGGGTGACAAAGTTGGCTAGGATAGATGATCTTTCTCAGGTAGATATTAAATAAGGCATGTCAAATTCTGATCCCCTACAAATTAATGTCTTCAGACGCAAGCCAAACCCTCCACCCCAAACATTGATTGGAGGCAAACAGAGAAAGGACCAGAATTTTATTCAAGAAACACTTCTCAAGATGCTTAGATTATTATTTTTTTGAATGAACAAGATAAATGGATAGTTTTCCTCCTGAAGCAACACGACAATTTAAGAAAAGAAAATGGGTATCCTGGAAGATTGGCAGGATCATGTTCAGTTTTTCAGGGGTTATACAGATCAAACTGGTCTCAACTAACAAGCGTGTGCCTCTGTCACCTCGACCAGACCAACCTGGTCAAAGTCCATATCAGAGGGATTTTATTTGCTAAACGCTTAGAATAATCTTCATAGTAACTCCAAAGATGGTCCTGAGGCCTGAGCAAGCAATGAGTCACTGAAAAAGGCATCACTGCTCAGCTTTCAATACACACAGTAAGAGCAGGGAAATAATAATGTTTTGTTGATTTTGCATCACAACACGAACCCAATGTTGGCTTTTACACATGCTTAATTGAGTTAATTCTTCATCTCCTTCCAATAGTATACTAGGCATATCTTCTGAAACTTCATCTCCAAGAGCTCCTCAGTAAACCAGAGATCCTAGGGTTGATGTATGAATTTGTCAATCCCTGCTGAGTGATAGACATTATCTGGTATTGGCTAAATATGAACTTAGTAAGTTATATGATACTAAATGTTTATTATACCCAGTGCTTTTTTTCTAAAAAAAAAAAAAGGTGCCGGAAATCACAAACATCATACAACCCGCCTTGCCTACCCTACAAGGTTCCATCCAAAAAAGGTGCCGGAACTCCGTTCTGGGCGTTCTATGACAAAAAAAGCCCTGATTATACCAGATAATAATAATGGAAAAGAAGTCTAGTAAGCTATTGGTTTTAGCTTAAATAAGTTCATATGATATTGCCTATTTCATTTATTATAGACATAGGAAGATTTGGTATATTTTGGTAACTCTCATTATTCATGGATTGGTTATCTGAGATTACCAAAGGCTAGATCTTGGTATATTCAATAAAGTTTTACATATATATGCAGTTTAGGTCTTTTTTAAACATACTTTACATTGTATACAGTAGTTCCTATCTCTCATGAACAAATCACGTTGTTTTCTCTTCTCTTACCCTTTCCTTGAAAGTGAGATTCCCACAGTTCTCATAGAACCTGGTTCTATATTCTCATTTTATTTCCCCGTCCTAAAAAATGTGACTATTATGAAAATGGAGAAGGTTCCTGACAGTTTTCCAGCTGATAGGTACATGCTTATTTCCTATTCTGTTGTGTTACATGAGCAACTATGGGGAAGCATGGGGACAAATAATGCATGCATGACACGTTCATAGCTATAGTGTTTCTGTAAGGATATCATTAAGACATTTTGATGTCATCACATGTTATGGCTACTAGGTTTTTTTTAGAATTCCCCCTTACCCTTTAGTTTCAATATGGGGAACATTATGGTTTTTCTTTAACAAGGGACGGATCTATCTGTTCTAGTTACAGCTTGCTTTTCTTCAAATGTTTGGTATAGTGATTCTAATCAGTGTTAGTTGGATATAATATAATGTTTGATATTCTCCATATCTTACTGCACATTGCTGCCTTATTCCTATTTATCAAACTATTGTGTCCTGTTTCCTTTCTAGGCATACTTATTTAATATTCATGACTGCTCACTCCAGCAGTCTTTCAATCTCTCTTTTTTTCCTATCAACAGCATTCAACCCAACAATGTGAACTTTTTGTTCATTTAAACAATTACCCGTTTGAAGGTTCTGAAAAAGAAAATAACAGTATCAGAGTCCTTTAAATCAACCACTCTGCTGTTTGATTGCAGAATGCCAGATCACACTCATGATCCTTCCATATACAATATGCTATAGGTTCACTAATTTAATACTAGACATGGGGAAAATACAGATAAGGATTAAAATCACAATAAGACGAACGAGAGGAAAACCATGCTACATCTGTTTTGGTATTGAAATGCTGGAATTTTGTTCAAACAAAACATGGAGGAAATTATGGGGCTGCAGTATGACAGAGACCAATTGTTATTTGCTACAATGTAGGCCCATTAAACAATCTGTGCTTTTTTGGATTTGAATAAGCACGTCATCTATTGATCAGAAGCCAGCAAGAAGTAACTACTATTGAAGCAGAAATAAGTTCATATCATAGGAAAGCAACCTGTCAATCTTATGCTGGCTTATGACCTTTTCCTCTTTTTCCGGGGTCCGGGGTCTTGCCTGCATAGGGGTCCGGTAGGTTGATCTTGTACCTACAGTCGTCTCATTCCCTGAACTGTGGTTCTTGTAGGCAGAGCCTTCTGCCTGCCCGCATATAAGATCCTGGGGACAGCTCATGCTGGTGGCCTGAAGAAAATTTTTAACAAGCAATTCAGTTTTTAATGGCTTCTCTAAACTGAACAGGGCACTGAAAGAAAGTCAGTAGATGTAAAAATACGAATAAATGCTTATAAAATGCCAGCAGTGAATTTATGAATATTTGGATTATATTAGAGGCCTTGATTCTCTTCTTTTATGTACAATATATTGTTTTGAATTAGCTCTTCAAATTGCCCTAGCAGTCAGTGTTTGTCATAATAAATGTGCTATCTAATGTACATTTATAATGTTTTAAAGAAAAGCAAATAAAATAACATAAAAATAAAATGATATGAAAATTAGGCAAAAGATTGACCCTAATAGTACCAGAAAAGGCCAACCTATATATTTTTTTACATTCATCTTTAGGAAAATAATTTTTAAAAGAAAACTACTGTATTTTCTGTGGCATTTCAAATGTGAAATAATTTCCTAATATCCTATTTTACAATTTTTTAATCAAAACCCAAAATCGCTTAAAGCTTTTCTATAAAAATATTCTTTCACCTATTTGTGAAGTCATTATCTTTGCTATGCATGTTTTCAAGATTTCAAATATATTTTATCAATAATTTTATAATTGGAGTCATCCTAAAATGATGTGTTTTGCCTTAGTATCTTGCATCTACCCACACAGTATTTTAGAAAATTTCCTGGCGTCGTGCACCAGCACATTGTTAAACTATTTCAAGATTCCTACATTTTTTATGGAGGGGGTGGAGGAGTCTGGAGGGTGGGAAGATTTAAATATTGAGTATTAAGGCATATTTATACACATTTCTAGAATATATTTTCTTAATCATAAATTGAAAATAGATACAAAATATAATTGGCATAAATAATAAGAAATTGTATGCTAAACATTATAGCTTTCGGTAAAAATATTTTTGCGCAGTTTTCGTTTTATTTTGTTTAAATTATTTGCAGAAGGGTTATTGTTGATGCTATTATTGTATTCTAGCAGGTTTAATAGGCATTGTATAGAATGAGTTTTATTCATTAAAATATTATTTGAATTTGAACCTAATGATAACTAACAACATTTTTTCTTAATTTGTTAATTCTCTTCACTTTTTTTTTTAGTAAAAATTGGATAATTGGGAACCTTCTATAATTTTATACAAGGTGACTTAAGATGTATTCCTCGTAGATGTATTATAAATAACTGTATGATAGAAACTCAATGTGTAAAATACATTTTACTAGTGCAATTTGGTTATTCATCTCAACATGTTTTCTCCTAATAAATATACTGTACTATATTACATTCAAATTAGGAATTATCTGTGGTTACTGTTAATGCTTGGGTATAGTTTGTTTAAAAATGGATGCCTAAAGAAATGTATATTGAATTACACTGTGTGCCTTGACACAGATGACAATGATCAAAGGAATAATAACTATGCAAATCACTTCCAGCAATGTTTTCTCCTTACTGTGAGTTCCATATCTTCCTCTTCTTTTTCTTTTACTGTTTTTTCTGGTTCTTCCGGCTCTTTTTCTTGCAGATGGATTTCTTGAGCCTGAGACATATAAGGCATATCATCTTTGTTTTTGAACTCCAAGCTGAGAATTGAAGGAGGAAGTAGAATTCCTAGAATTACCTAAATCAATAAAAATGATAACAACAACCATCACAATTAACAGCTTATGGTTATTTCCAGTTGCTCTTTCTGTTTATTATTACACATGCACTTTATGCATCTAGGAATGAGACATTTGGGCGTATAAGTTTCAAAATAATGTAACTATTTTGTAGGCAATGGCAAGAATGAAATCAATAATAGACCGCTTAGTACTCTATAAAGTCCTGGCCCTTAAAGGTTTAAAATAAATTGGCCACCCACCCTTTTGAAGTGCAAAGATATATGGCTGTTAATACTTTATCTTATATTTATGTGCTGATTTAACGTACACACTTTCCCATAAGTTTCATACTTAAAACAATCCTGACCTTTAGACTTGAGTTTTTGCGCATCCGAAGCCTCCCCATCCACATATCTGTGAGTAGCATTTGGCTACATGTGTGTGCAATGAAATCTCGATGCTTGGCTGCCACTGCAAGTTGAAGGCATGTGGCATTGCTCCAGTTTTTCAACTCATATGTCAGGAGTTTCATAGCCAGCTGCTCATCTTGCTTGTAGGATTGGTCCAGCAGCTCCACCGCCAGCTGGCCAAAATCTCTGTAAAAAAAAGGCATTTTTGTTAGTTTGTGAATCGGTTACTGTTGGTGGCATCTAAACAATTGTTAAGGGCTACTTCTGCAGGAATTGCATCACAGCCTGGTATGTTTGGCTAAGATCCTGAGAGCACTTGCAGATACTGTGCTTCAGATTAATCCTTTCATTAAATCTCTTAATTTCAATTTTGTTAGGAAGCCTTAGCTTCCACTTGCCTGCTATCCTCTCCTTGTTGCTAATCTGATTGTTCTGATCTCATTTGTATTAGAACTCGGTGAGAGAATCACATTTTCAATAATAAAAGTATAGTGCAATTTAATCAAGGTTTATGACTATAGGAAGCCTGGATTGACCATAGACTTTATGACTAGAGGAAAATCAAGAATTATATGTTCTTGATTTTCCTCTAGTCATAAAGTCTATGGTCAATCCAGGCTTCCTATAGTCATAAACCTTGATTAATAGTTGCAGGAATTGGGTATGTCTAGTCTAGTGAAAAGGATTAAGGGACATATGATAGCAGTGTTCCAGTATTTGAGGAGCTGCCATAAAAATGAGGGGTACAAACTGTTTCCCAAAGCACCAGAATGCAAGACCAGAACCAATGGATGGAAATTAATCAAGGAAAGAAGCAACCTAGAACTAAGGAGAAACCAGTGGAATGGCTTGCCTTCGGAAGTTGTGGGTGCCCCATCACTGGAGGCCTTTAAGAAAAGAGTGGGCATCCATTTGTCTGAAATGGTATAGATTCTCCTGCTTGAGCAGGGGTTTGGATTAGATGACCTCCCAGGTCCCTTCCAACTCTGCTATTCTATGTTATTCTATGAATTAAGTCTTAGCATCTTCTTTTTCTGTTCAATTCCTGTCTAATGCTCTGGTAATTGTGGACATAATGAGGGACTGGATCTGGCTAAGCAGACTGAATTTCATATGAAACAAGATTCCAATAATGATAAAATATGCTTGCCTTGGCACAGTTTATTACTCATATATGTGCATTTCTGTATTAAGAATATTCATAAAGGAATTTAGCATGCCATGGTTTATCAGGCCATAAATGTCACTTACATCTTCATAATATAAAAGTTAAACTATTGCAGTATGCTTTCTATAGGATAGCTCTTTAAAGGACTGATATGTAACAGAAACTTCCTGATAGGGCTACTGGGGCTTTAGATTAGAATTCCAGCATCTGCATTATGTAAAGTACTATTTTTGACCAATAAAACCCTGGCTTTTTATGGAGAACTGGATTGATTTCCCATGTTCCTAACAACAATCTTTATTATAACTGTTTTCCCTTTTGCATGGTTAACCATCAAATCTAACAGTGAAGTCTTATAAGCCAGTATTCTCAATGGCTGTTTGAAGTGGTTTGGCTTAGAAGTGTTGTTCTGTTCTACAAGGCCAGCCCACTGAGCCCTTGGCTTCAAGAGAAATGTTTATTTTTCTTGCAAGCCTTTCACTCATCTGTGAGAGTGTTTGCAAACATTCCAAGAGGGAGCCTTCATGCCAACACTGTTTACACTGCCTGGTTTTTCTCCTAGGATTTGGAAAGCATTATGAGACTTCTAGCTTAATCAGCTCAGTAATAAAAAGAAGCGGCGCTATTCTATCTAGATTCTGTGTCATACAAAATGAAGGACAACAATGTAACATTCATGAATAGCTCAACCTGGAGTTGTGATTAAGTTCCTGAGATATGTCATCCACCATATCATTTTCAGATGCTTCATGGGCCATTGCTTTACAAAGTTTACAGGCTACCAGAGCCTTAGCCATGGCTTCCTCTCCATGTTGCCAGAAGAAAAGAGCCATCTTCTGGCGCTTCATCAGCACAGCCCATACCATCAGTTCATGAAAGGGGAAAGGGAAATGGTTAATCTCAGGATCATCTAGGTCTATATCCACTTCCTCTTCTCGTTTCTTGGTAGTCTTTCTTCCCCTCCGTAGTGGAACATCATCCTGATGAGCATAGAAAAATGTTGTTAGGCTAAAGGTACCTTTAGCAATATAATGCCATTCTTAAAAAGACATCACACTGGTTTCTTTTCTACAGTTGCATAGCAGCTTACCTGGATCTAATTACTCAGAACGATCTCTGTCTCTCTCCCTCTCTCTCTTTCTTTGCAACGATAATGTCTAGTAGCTTTCAAAACTGTATAAATTACCTTTAATTTATTTAACAGAAATAATTTAGAGACATGCTTAACAATCAGCAATTAAGCACTCCAAAAATACTTGTCTAGTATTCCCAGTGCTGATTTAATACTCCTGGGAAAATCACTTTCAACATCCTGGTGCATTTTCATCTAAATATAGAAATTTTAATAATATTGATTTGACAATTAGTTTTCTGATAATTTTAGAAGAGGGTCCACCCCCCAAGAAAGCTTATAATGACATAATTTTCTATACTGACTCTTACCTAATACTTGTAACATTTGTGGCTGTTTCCAAATACAGATACATTATTCAGTAAAATGATGAAATTTTATTAGAAGTCTTTAAATAAACTTTCCTCCCTTTCCCCCATAGTTATACATATGAATATGCACAGTGTCATAGATGAAAATTGACTTTCTTTACAAACTATCTTGTAAACATGTATTATTTTGCTGCCAGGATTTAAAGATAAATTTTAGATATGCCTAATGCTCTAGGCATGTCCAATGGGATATTTGATTTCTTTTCCTTCCTTCCTTCCTTCCTTCCTTCCTTCCTTCCTTCCTTCCTTCCTTCCTTCCTTCCTTCCTTCCTTCCTTCTCTTCCTGCTTCCCTCCTCTATGGTGGGAAAAGTAGCTCCATTTGAAATCTTAACTTGTAAGTGTACTTGAGTACATAGAAGTAGTTACTGTTTTTTTAAATCATGTAAATCATGTTGAATCACAGTCCTGAATACATTTTGTTCTATAATAAAGGTTTATAAAAAACTGTCATTAAAATGGGTGATTTACAACTTACCTCCATTCCCAGAAGTTTTAGGGCCTTGGGCTGTGGGTAAAAAAAGAAAAGAATAATTCTATTTATAATTTTTCAAAAAGCACAGGGACTAAATAAAACCTATCCTGTTCATTCATCATTTTTTTGGATTCAGCATACATACTTTGCAAGCCTCTTGATTTATTAGTGCAACCACTTTCTACTATTTAACTGTTTTTGCATATCCCTATTGTTTGGGAAAAATCTGTATTATTGCACAAAGATTCCAAAGTTAATTAAAGAAAAGTAAACTTGCCTTTAATAATGTGGACTCTTATGTTTTTTTTTTTTTTGGCACCCAGCTTTATTCCAGCATTTTAAACTTTTGCAAAAGCTGCAGACGTTGCTCCCCCAACTCTCCAGAAAATTCTGAAGGGATAGTCTAAGTTTCCTACATGTTAGGAACTGGAAAAATGTCAGCAACATCCTTTTCCACTTTGTATCAGGGAGAGCAATATTTTGCATCTAATGCTTAACCCCTTGCATCTCTTCAGCATTCTGAAGCTATAATTAGAGTTTGTTGGATGCACCTGTAACTGAAAAGAGGAATTCAGGTACAAGCCCATATGCTATAAGGCAAGGGTGTCAAACACGCCGTGTTACGTGACGTGTTGCGACGTGTAGTGACTTTTTTTGCATTGCCAGAGCTGGGGTGGGCATGGCCTCTGCATGATGCAACCGGTCTGTGGGCTGGCAGTTTGACACCCCTGCTGTAGGGGGTTGGGATGATATTAGTGACTGACAAATCCTCCTGTATTTGTAAGGTGCCATGCTCAGTGGTGCGATTCAAATATGTGAACAGCCAGTTCTCTGTGTGGATGCTGCTTCCGGAAGTCCATTCTGGGCATGGGCAACAAAAAATTAGCTACCGGTTCTGCCAAAGTGGTCCAAACCGGCTGAGTCCCACCATTGGCCATACTGTTATGTGTTTCAATTACTTTAATTTTAAAAAGAGGTGATTGGACACATTTTAGAGTAGAAAATGATTTCTTCCAAGTGTAATTTTATTTTCTTATGTATTTATGAAATAGTTATATTTGGGGCTAGGGCCACAATTCAGTAGTTCATAATTATTTACTGTGAGAATACACTGGAAAATGAAGAGAAAGAAGAATAATTGATACCCCACTGTAATTATCCAAGAAAAAACAGGCTTAAGGATGGAGTGGGAAAGATGGCAGAAATCTGGGATTAAGGGTTTTCTTAACATGACAAATGGAGGAGGGAGGAACTGAAGTTGAATCTCAGATCAACCTACGTCACAGGGTTGTTGTTATGGAGAAAAACACATAGAGGAATGATATGTATACTTGAGTTCCTGAGTGAATAATAATAATGATAATGATGATGATGATGATGAAGATGAAGTTGGAAGGGACCTTGGAAGTCATCTAGTCCAACCCCCTGCTCCGGCAGGAAACTCTATACCATTTTGGACAAATGGCTGTCTAGTCTCTTCTTAAAAACTTCCAGTGTTGGAGCATTCACCGCTTCTGGAGGCAAGTTGTTCCACTGGTTAATTGTTCTAACTGTCAGGAAGTTTCTCCTTAGTTCTAGGGAGGGACCTCAATCAATCCAACAAACAAATAAAAGAGAGGACAGGAAAAAATGTATTTTTGTTACAGACTGTGTTTTTAGTATGTACTATGGGTTGAGAATGAAACAGGTTGTATAACAGAATTTAAGTGCAGGGAGGTGGAAGATGATTTTGGAATCTAAAGATTTAGAATTTAGAAAAGGAATGAGCTTTGAGTAAGTGTATTCAAAGGAAGGAATTTGTTCATGGAATGAGCTCAGAACACACCCTTTTCTTGTAGTACTGAAGTGCCCAGAAGCATTATATGGCAGTGCCCATAACAGGTTTTCAACATTCAAGATGTATCCAAAAGCCAAGTAAGGTCATCTAACCAAGTCACCTTTGACTTGATCACCTCTTAACCCACCCCCTTAAATCTGCTTTTTATGAAACAGTTTTTAAAAAAGAAACTCAATAACAATCCTTACTCTCTTGGGGCCAAATAAGTTGTGATAGAGTGTTCGGAAGCGTTTTCGAGTATAATTACAGCGATAAGCTCCTCCCATCAGGTACTCAATCACCAGGCCAATGTCAATTAGACTTATCCTATAATCTGGTGGCAGGTTTCCCTATTATTTTTCCAATAGAATAAAAGACACACAAAACAAGGGGGGAGGAAAGATACAACTGATTATTAAGTCTATTGTACATATTTTTCTATAACTATGAGAGTTTTAAATGAAACATAAGAAAACATTATTATGCTTATTAATTAATTCACCTTAAAATAGATCCAACCGAAACCTGGATATTCGCGCTTGGAAAAAAGACATAAATTAAGTAAGAAAATGTGTTAAAAGATAGCAGTAAAAGAAGATAATAAGTTTCAGAACACAGGATTTAGGCTATTCTGAGAAGAAAAAAAGGATACACTACTGCAGAACAAAGAAAGCATGAAGGCAAAGCATGTTACAGAAATTCTACATATTTGCTGGAACCTGGTGATATCCCAAATAAGCCATTATAAGTCTTATATCCTGAGGAATATGTGTGTGCTCTGGCAAACTTCTTGGGGTTGTGTGACTTCCTGCTTCTGTCATGCTTCTAAGAATGTTTTTTTTTCCCCAAACTTAGTCCTGGAATAGGAAGGCAACTTTAGGATAAACAGATGCTGAATACTTTCATTGTTAAGTTTGCTCTTTTACTGAATAGTATATTTAGCAGATTAAGGTTCCAGAAGCCTCTTTCTTGTGGTTCTCTAATTAAAACTGACTTCATACAAAATTAAAAAGTGAAAAATTCTTATATCTTTCTAAAGACGCTACCCCTCTGCAGGAATTAAAATTCTTTCACTTAAACTTTTGGTTACTGTTTTTTTTTTTTTTTGCTATGTGGTCGTGCATCTTCCAAAAAGGAAATATATTTGGAAGCTGTCCTAACAATGAAATAATATTTGATATCTAGGAAAAGTGTGTGCAGAGGAATTTATTTTCACTTTTTAGAGACAAATCTACATGACACCAAATTTCTCCTCAATTTTTTGTTGGAGATTCCAACATGTTCTCATTTAAATAAAAGTTGATTTAAGTTATATCTAATTATTTTCACACACCATTTATCATTAAGTGCCAAAATTCATCTGTTACCTTATCACTTAGCACTGAGTGGGCCAAATAATGAATTTACCTCATAAGCCATTTCTCAGATCTCGCTCCACTGACTTTCAATTCTCCTAATATCAAAAAGGACATTTTTCTGTGTTATTACTGTAATGCAAAAACAGTTTACAACCCTCCCCCAATGTATAGAAAGCATAGGCTTATTGTTGTATATACAAAATCTTACATCTGCTTATTTGTCCTCTCTAAATAAATATATTGCTTTAAGATACTATGGTTGATGTAGCCTGCACTTTATATTCATAGTAAATATACACAAAATGCCATTTTGAGATTATTATTGTAATTGTGACTATATTACCTGTCTAGGATTTACATGCTGAGCTAATACTAATCTTAGAGAACTTTCAGGAGTGTATCACACATTAAATTTTATATCAGTTACCTAGTAGTTCTAAAGAAGTGTGAATGGATCAGATTTATATCAAATTTATATCATCTAGCGTATTAACAATTAAAATAACATGAACATAAAACTAAGTTCTTGATTCCATACATTTTAAATGATTACACAATCTATTAGTAGTCGGAACCTGTGACTGTATATTCTTGCTTTTGACATTAGTATTTTTACTAAATTTTACTCTACTCAGGTATCAATCTACTAGTACAAAGTACAAACTGAGAATTGTTCTTCTGATTTGTTCTAGGTTAAAAGATATCCAAACCAATTTGAATAATGCCTGAATACCCAATAAAAGTGAAATAATTCTATGATATCATATAAGTCTTATGACTCAGATTGTAAAGTTTAGTAGTAGTTTTGTTTCTTCTAAAAAACTAAGAATAATTCCTTCTTCTAAACCCTTTTAAAGTATAGCCTAATTATGTTGATTCTAGTAACATTTTATTATTTAAAAACTTTATTGCTTTGTTTGAAAAGCAATTTCCACTCAAATTGCTCTCATTCTAAATTGACATGCTTAGGATTAAAGCATAAATTGTTAGAAATTCAGAAAGAGACACCTTTTCTACAGATGCTTAATTTTGAACATAATCATAATGCATAGATATAGCCTACTGATAATGAATTAATCAGAAAGATATCTTACTAAATATATATCTAGTGAGAGGGGGAAAAGGGTAGAAATTTTTACTTTATGAACATTAGAGGGCATACTTTAGCTATCAAAGCTCCCAACATGTTTTCCTTTTGTTATTTGAGTAATCATTAAACATCCAATTTGGCAAAAAAGTAGTTATTGTAGACCAAACACTTTTCTGACTAATGATTTGTTGTCAGTGCCCTTGATATTCAAATATAGGAGAAATTATCTTTATTAACTAAATAAAAGAAGTCAAAAGGATACATTGTTATTCTTTTCCATAATCTCATTAGAGCAAGCCTCATTTAGAAATCGAATTTAAGAGTTATCCATGATATTTCATTTTTAATATTTTTAAAGCCTTTTAATATAAGGAAAAGTGTAAAAATTTGCCATTTTGCTAACTTCCCTTTTCTTGCATGCAAGCAAAATTATTTTTATGGTTACTTGAATGGTGTTCTCTCTGCACCCTTTACAACTGGAAAGAAATGATTTTCCTTAACATAATTGGGACAAAGGCTATCTCCAATATTAGGTTATTCTCACACTGCACTTTTATAGTATTGAAAAAAAACTAGATTTTGTTACTTAAAATATATAATTGCTACATACCCACAAAAGGTTTTTTTGGGAATTTTTTATATGCAAGTTTAAATGTGCTCATATTTTGCTTTATATTTAGTTGTTTAATTTTCAGCTATCATAAGGTGTCAGGAATGTACATACTAAAATTATTTTTCAGTTTTAATATTAAACTGCTCTTCAGCAGAATAAAGTGAATATAATTTATTTCTCTGGATAATACTTACAAAGTGCTTCATTTTAATAAATATTTATTTGGTCTTAAAGGGTTATAATAAAACTAATGTTAAGCTACTGGAATTAAAAATTCATCAGAATGAGATAAGTTGCTTTAGACAGTCATCTGTCTCTCGTGGGCAGTGAAATATTGGGCTGTCAACATAATGATATATTGCATTAAGAGGTTATTTTCTAGAATGCGTTTCATTTAAATTCATGTCAGATTTGTTGATAGATTCATAAACTGACTGAAAAGAAGGAAATGTTATTTCTCAGGTATAGGTCTGCAGGAACCATCTAATATCTCGTAGCATAACATTTTACTTCTTCATTATTGATGAAGTGAGGAAAAAAATTCCTGTCTAATGCAACAGATTTCAAGTGACATTTCCAAAACAGCTAATGGCACAGAAATGACTATATTTATACTGCTTCTTGTTACTAACAAAGAAAGAAGAGGGAAGCAGAAAGCTTAAATTAAACCCTGATTTTGAATTAAGCAGTACTGTACTGCATATTCATGAGATTTTTTTGTTGTTGTAAACAGCTTTTGTTGTTGTCCCAATAGACATTTAGCTCTGTTATTGAAAAATTGTTACACATTTTGGCCTGGTTCTCCAAATTTAATATTTCATAAATGAAGTAACAAATGTAAAATAAGTTCTCAAAAGTTTTTCCCCTGCTTTCAGGTATAATCAAACATTTCAATTTTTTTCCTCAAATTTCTGAGTTAGTTATGATTTAAAATTCTTTAAAAACTTGTTGGAAACTCTGAATCTATGGTCTTTCTTTCTTTCTTTCTTTCTTTCTTTCTTTCTTTCTTTTTTTTTTTTTACAAAAGTTGAAAGGGCAACCCATTTTAAATCTGTATTTCCTCATTCTCTTGCACATTTATGTTTTAAGGCAAAAGTGCCTTTAAAACTGAAATTTACAAATATTTAAATTTATAGCTGAGGGTCTTTGGATTTTATGTGTCAAGCTCCAGATGATTATAAGACTGTGATAAAGTACATAGGCATTAGATATTAAGTTTTTCTGTTTTAGTACCCCTTTCCCCCTTCCTCCCCATTTCTAAATAATCAATTTATAGTTTTTTCAGCGAAAATAAAATTTGGGAGATGAGGTTTTATGTAGCTAGTGTTATGCTCTGGTTCTTCCCACAATTACTATTCTGGGCAGATGGAGATAAGACTTTCTTATATCTCTTTAGGTTGTGGCTTAACATATATCATTGTATCTTCATGCAGGAAATCAGTGGCCAACATACAGGCATGGAGAAGCTGTAAGAATTGCAACCAAAATCTGTAGGGCCAATACGTTCCTTTTCATTCCCTTCTTCACTTTGCTGCTTAATCATCACAGATCCTATTATGTGACTGAATAGAATCCAAGACACATTGATAAAAATTATTTTTAGAAAAATAATCTGTTTCCACCAGTTCCTTTAAGGTAGCTTCAGTCACACAAATTTTAATCTAAACTGTTTTCTTTTTTAAACTTTCTACTTCAAAAAGATAAGGGGTTTTATAAAAAAAATAGCATTTAATGAAGCTGAAAATAATACAATGATTCAAGATCCAGCATAACAATAATATATATTGCAATGTCCAACACTGACCCACAATATGGAAATCAGCATTCAAAACACTGATGACTATTAAAATACATCTATTGCATAAATCCACATCACATGAAAAACACCTACAGTCCACTAGCAGAAGCAGTATACCTAAAGCATCTAAAATAACCACTAGCAGCCACTAAATAGTTAACTGTATTGTACACAAGGCTGAGAATCATTACGAACACAAACTGCACAACTGCAATGGCAGAAGGTGGAAAAAAGCTCTTGTTGGTAGCCCATGCAAAACAGAGGCTGTCTCTAATGACAAGAAGCAGCTATATATTACCTTCACGCTACTGTCCACCTTTGGACGCTTACCTTTTTGACATCTCTGACAAGATGATACAAAGTGTTGGATGGACCATGTCTCTGAAAAAGATCACAAGAAACAGCTTAATGGTTCTGATATATCTGAAGAAGCTATTTGGATTAAAGGACAGGTGTGTCAGCGAGTCCAACTAAAAAGCTCATAAAACCCAAATTACTGAATGTGACAATTGCATAGTTTCATAATAGGTAACAAAACACTTGTATCAAAAGAATATTTATAGCTTAGGGTTGAGTTTTGTTGTTTTCTTGCAAATATTTCATTACCCAACTAGGTAACAAAATCAGAGAGCAAACCCCATTCCCTTTTATCACGATAATGTTACTAGTTATCCTAAACTACAAATATTTTTCTTTTGATTCAAGTGTTCTCCTTCCGTATGAAAAGACTTAGTTGCAGTATACTATTTTTGAAAGAAGCTCCATGTTCGCATTTAGAATCGGTGGAGATAGAAGTAGACTTAACCCAGCTTGTTAATGTGGATCAAAAGGGACTAAGCTGTAGTTCTTCAAACATTTACTATTGGGTGAAAAGTTTGAGTCATGCACAAATGGTACTATCTCATGAAACTTAAGTATCATATATTATGTATGCCTTATATAGAGATTACCAAATCATGCAATTCTTGATTTTTTAAAAGGAGTTAATGTTGGGGAATGATTAAGAGAACAGAGCAGGGGGCAAGGTATACTGACCTCTGCAGAGTTTGAATAATTACCATATGTCCTTGTTATTATACCACCCATGCAGCCTGAGATAGACTTAAGATTACCATTATTACTCTCCACTATTATTGCGTGAAAATCAGGCAGAAATTCAATAAGCAGCATTAATTTTTTTGAAGAAAATGGCTGTCTATTTAATTTTTGCTCATCTTTTAAGTAAAATATGTGAGTTATAGCCTGGTGGTAAGTGAAAGTTTTATTGTTTTGACAAGGCAGCTGATGTTCCCTGAGAAATAATAGGAACCAAATAGAATAATTGAAATGGTCTGCTTTAGCCTAGCCAATTCAGTGGTGTTTTGAAAATGGCAATTTTTTTAAAAAAAGCAATTTATCTTAGGAGCAAATTATTTTTAACAGAATCCAAACTGTAATAAGGTACAGATGTGTTTTTTTTTAAAAAAATAAAGTTATATAGTTGTATTAGGGTGTAATAAAAGAATAAGCAGGCAAAGTGTTATGAGATTTTGTTACAGGAACACTTTAAGGAAGGCAAGCATTATTTCGGGAATGAGGCGATTGGATGAATTTCTGGGCACCATGCTAGGTCTTGAAGGGAATTAAATAAACAAATAGGGCCCCTACCGTATTGTACAGTTCTTCTAGTCTGGAGAGGGTGAGAAAACGATGCATGCTTACTCCATTTTCTATGAGTAACTTCACAAAATCCACTCTGTCTAATACCAGGGCATCCAACATTGCCTGTTCAAGGGACCCCACCTAAAAGGGAAATAGCTTAATCAGGGAGATTTTGTGGAGAAAGTTCATACAAAAAGGCTTATGGAAATATTTTACATTTTCCTATCATATTAAAAATGGGTTCCACATAACACTATTTTTCAATACAATTTTGGAATGTTGTAAGCTTTTTTAAAATTTCTTTCCTCTTGGTGTGGACATCTCCTGTCAGCTTTAGTTTTTACCAACCTGAATAAATGGTGTCACCCACATATTTCAGTATATTTTTCTTTCTCCTACCTATGAAATCTTACAAATGTAAATTAAACACACTAACTCCAATACAAAATATTGAGAGCTTCTTAAAGCTTGCAATTCTCCGTTGTAATAATTGTTCAGTATCCTCCATTTTCTGTTCTTCAGTTTTATCATTTGTGAGAGGATGTATTCTCTTGGTCAAACTTTGTGGAAGGTTTTTTGAAATTCAAGTAAGTCAGTTTTATTATGGACATTATCAAAAGTTCTCAAGAGTTGAAAAACTTTGTCTGGGAAGTCATTATATTATCAACAATACTTGTTTATCTGTGGCCTGTTCAGGATTTACCATAGTGTGTTCAATCAAAATGGAAGAAACAGTGAAAAGCACTTGCCTTTTCCTAGTTGTGCTAGTGACATAAGTGAAATTATGGTCTCCACATTACAACATGATTGTCTGTGGCAGGGAGCCTTCACGTATAACAACGCTTCTATTGGACAACTCTGAATTCCAGCTTATGTGGGAAATGATCACATATACAGCTAGCCTTCTTACTGAAAAAATTGTCCTTTCCCCCACTAATTCTCCTCCAGGTTCATCAGACTATTCAACAACTCTCCATTAATTTCCTCATCTGAAATAATTTTATTTCCCTTCCATAACACTCAGAAATCCTCCCAAATTTTCAGCTTTTTCTCTCTTACAGAGAAGCCGAGGGGGAAATTGTTGAATTTTCTAAATAACTGAAGATCTGTATCTGAACTGCATCTGCTCCATTACTTGTTGTATTTGTATGTCTGCGGCATCTTTATACATGTGCAAAATTACAGGTATGCAAAAACATTTTTTCAACTTCCTTATTTGAAGCTTCATTATCTGGAGTTGTTGAACTGGAACAGAGCCTCTCAATATATATATTGAGAGAGAACAAAAGTACATAATATGACATTTCAGTCACCTCAGGAGGCAAACTATGGTATCTGAAAATTTAAGCCACAATAAATATATTTGTCCTTAAATAAAAAAAAATTCTCACAAAATATAAAACAATAGGTTATGTTGTATATTAACAGCCCCACTAGATGACACTATTTCCTACAAGAAAAATTACAAACATCTTTATTATGATTACATGACAATCTGTTTATGTTTTCTCTCTCTCCCTCTTTCTCTTCTCCATCATGATAATAGCTATGCTCAATTGGAAAAGTATTTAATAACCATATAGATACTGTACCGGCCACTGTTGCCCATAAATAAAAATCTGGCTGCGAGCAATGTCTACCCTGTTCCAAGCTAATGCCAAACTCAGTTGATCTGGAGCAGAGGCATTCGCTCCTGTAGAAATCGAGAATAAGAATATTTAATTAATTCAACATAGTCAGTAGCAAAACAGATCTCATGAGAAATGAAAGGAAAGAAGATAGACGTATGGTCCAATTGAGAGTTATTACAATTATGTTTATATAGTTTTCTTGCTGAAGTTAGCAATCTAGTTCAAGATATTTAAATAAACCAGGATGCCTAATATTTACCTGAATATTTTAGAAAACTAAGATTATAAATTAAAGGTCTCATTGTAACAGGAAAGTAACTAACAAATTACATTATTTTTAACTTTGATAAGCTGGGGTCTATACATGCAGATTTGTGAAAAAATCTGGAACTCCTTTCTCACAAAAGGAGATAACAGAAGCAGAACTGCCTTACAACTGTGGAGATGTGGCATAGAAGCTTGTATTAATTCTGTTTGCTAGATTAATGTTAAAAGAATCTCTCAGAGGTCTCATTTGTATATTCCTGTCAGATACTAAACTCAGGAGTTTGCTTAGTCAGAAGGAGGCTCACAAACATAACTTCGCTTGTTTAGTTATTTTATACAATTGAAAAAAATTGTCTATTGTGTATACAGAGAACAAAGCTTATATAATGTTTTAAATTTATAGGTTATTTTCTGCCTTTCCAATGGTCAAATCACTGGCCATTTTTGCTGCTCTTTTCAAGACCACGGGAGGCAGCTGACTATGCTGACATGGCAGTCCTCCCAAGCCTGGGAACTGTGGTTCCTATATTGCTGATCTCTTTCCTAGCAATTCCATTTCTTTTTAAAACACAATAAAGGTAGTCCTCGACTTACAACCACATTTGAGCCCAAAATTTCTGTTGCTAAGTGAGACAGCTGTTAAATGAGCTTTGCCCCATTTTATGACCTTTCTTACCACAGCTGTTAAATAAATCACTGCCGTTGTTAAATTAGTAACATGACTGTTACTAATTGACTTTGCTTGTCAGAAGGCTGCAAAAGGTGATCACGTAACCCCGTCATAAATATGAGTCAGTTGCCCAGCATCTGAATTTTGATCATGTAAGCATGGGGATGTTGCAACGATCAGAAGTGGGAAAAACTGGTCATAAGTCACTTTTTTTAGTGCCACTGTAACATCAACCAGTCATTAAACGAACTGTTGTAAGTCGAGGACTAACTGGGCAGAAAACTGACCAGAAATAACTAAAGGATAAAATTGCCTCTGTTTTAAAAATTAAAAGCCAGAATATATGCAATCCGTGGAAACTGGAACATTTCCTGGGCATTATAAAAACTTTTTTGTTTTATAATTGAGACCAGCAACTTGGTTGTTAAGAGAAGTGGTTGCTGACCAACAACCACTTCTGATGTGTTAAGACAAGAAAACATTTTACAATTGTGGTTTCAATATTTGCAAATCATGCAGAGATGGACTTTGGATAAGAAAATGGGAATTACTTTAGTAGATGAAAATTTGGTAATTCAGATCAAGGATCAGAAATGTGCCCATATTAAAAGAATTTATAATGAGTTAATAAAATTGGATTCAGAAACAGAGTTAGTTAAAGATTGTATGATTAAATGGGCCCAGAATATTCAAGAACCGATCTCGTTGGACTTATGGGAGGTAATTTGGACTAGAAATGTTAAATTTACGCAGGCCCAGAACTTGAGGGAAAATTTTTATAAAATGTTTTATGGAAGGCATCTGGATCCTAAAAAGCTGTCCTGTATGTACCCGAACCTGCAACCTAAATGTTGGAGATGTGGTTGCTTGGATGCAACCTATTTTCATGTTTGGTGGACTTGTAAAGTTATTAAAGCCTTCTGGATTATGATTTGGTGGAACATTCAAAAGGTTTTTAAAAGGAAGATTAAGTTTACTCCCCAACTGTTTCTTTTGGGAATTTTTGTGGATTTTAATGTTAAAGAAACTATTTTAATGTTGAATTTAATAACAGCAGCAAGATTACTGGTGGGTCAATATTGGAAGAAGGATACTCTGCCTTCTTTAGAAGAATGGGTATTTAAGGTTTCTAATTTAGCAGAAATGGCTAAAATTTCTGCTTTTTTAAAGGGCCATTCACAAGAGAGATATTTTAACGTATGGAGAAAATGGATAGAATATGTTCAGAAGAAATATGGAACTACAAAGTTTCACTTATTCTATGAGTAATGATTTTGTTTATAAATTTATGATGTTAAAGTTTGAAGACAGTTAAGAGTTTTTATGATTTTCTTTATTGTATAATTAGTAAACTTAAATAGATTATGTTTAATATGTTTGTATAATCCTGTATTTTGCTCTGGGAAGTCGGGGGGGAGGGGGGGTGGGGGGATGGGGGTGGGGGGATGGGGGTGGGGGGTGGATGGGTTGAAGTTTAAGTAGTTCAGATAAAGTAGAAATAGTTTTATTGTATATAATATTAATGTTTTAATTTTGAGAGAGGAACTGCTCGGGCATTTCCCCTGGACCGCATCAAGAGGGAGAAGAAGAAGGTGAGAAGTAAGTAGGAAGGTGGAGGTGAAGGAGGAGAGGGGGTGAGTGAAGAAAAAGAGGGAAAGAAGTAAGTTGGTTTGAGGATGCAGTTTGGGGGGAAATGGGCGGGCAAGACCGAATGTGGTGTGTATCAATTTGTTTTGTTTTTTATCTGAAGTATTTGTAAGATCGTTATGTATTGTAAAATTGAAAATAAACATTTTTACAAGAAAAAAGAGAAGTGGTTGCTGAGTGAAATTGCAAATGTGTACAGGATCTTACTTCAGTTTTGCTTTGCTTTACTGACCTGTGAAGGTCACAAAAGGAAGGATTGGTTTAACATTTCTTTTTCATCACTATCATAATTGCAAATGGTTGCTAAACAAAGATTATATATATTATTGGTTTTTTTTTAGGAAGACAGTTTGCTGGGATTTTGTTAACAAAGCAAAAAACTTGTCTTACAGAATTTGTCTCAGAAAAACTTTTCAGAAAAAAATAATCTTTTAGAGCTTTATTTTATTTTAATAAAATGTACTACATGTGTTTGGAACAACATATATATACATACAAGAAAGTAACTGAACAGTATCAGCATAAAGAAACAACAAAGTGTGTTCTGTAATTCAGGAAGAAGAAGCATGTAAGAAATGTATAATATTATTTCAGGTCAGTGAAAGATTCAAAAGTAAAGTAAAATGAAAAGTGACATGAGTATTGATGCAGATACAATATCAGTCACTGAGCTGTAATGAGATTTCCAATGCAACTGTAGTTCTTTTATGGCCTTTATCAAAAGTTTGGATTAGATTGCTGCATCACAAAGCATGTGAATGAATGAATATATTACATATAATGTAACACATTTTTAAAAATTAGATCAACAGATGTTGTAACAAGGAAGAAAACATCCTAAAGTGGCAGCCTGAATTGTTCAGGGTAGCTAAAATATTTGAAAATGAGAAAATAGTATTGTATAATAAAATCTGTGGCAATTCTATACAGATTTTAATCTTACAAATCTCATTTGTAGCAGTCATATATGTTTATGTTTTATCTGAAACACCCAACTCTGAATCAGTGGGTATTTGCCTGTGAAACTGCTGAGGATAATATTGTGTGTGTTTAATGCTCTCTATGAAATTTATGAAATCTGATTGTCTTTAATATAAAGAGGAAGCTATAATGAAAAATACCAGTTGAATTAAACAATTACCGGTTTCATACATGGCACCAAACTACGTTTTTTAAAAATAATGGTCTTTTGGAAAAGCATAAAGCATAATTAATAAATGTAATGGCTAGGTTTCTATACCATGCCAAGCCAAAACAAAAAACTAAATGGTTAACTTAATGTGTGAACACAAATAAGTGCATATTATATTTTGGGAAGCAATTTTCTATAATTCTGGATTGAACAGTAGCATCAGCTTCTCTTTTCCTCTTTTCCTTCATTGCCTAGGTCTCTAAATTCTGGGGGGGGGGAAGTCTTGGAATCTTTTTATTAAAAAAATAAAGGGAACAGTTTTTTTCTTTATATAATTTGAACATACTACTCTGATTTAAGATTTCTGGGTTACAGTTGATGCAAGCATGATTTTATACATATCATTTCTATATTATTTTGTCTCTTCATATTAATCAATCCCTTGCAAACACTGTTGGGCAGGAGGTGAATTCCCTATTTTACATCCCCATTTCAAGGGGAATAAAACCTGATCAAGGCAGAGAAATGGTTCTGAGATTCATCACATGGTTTTTGTGTTGTTGCTAGGATACTCCCTTCTTGTCTGTCTGAGTTAGAAAGCTGTCTTGTGACTCTCCAGTGGATTTGCATCATGCCAATGTTATATCGGAGCACAGCAATACCTCTGTTGCTGCATGTTTCCATTAAATGTCCAGATTATATAGATATAGTTAAATTGATCTCTACTTTAGGTGCTGACATTGCAGCTAGATGGATGACAATAGATAATAAAATTTTCTTGTTTTGCAAAAGTAAGGAGGAAAAACGTTCTGGACACTCTTCTTATCTAGATTGAAGTTAAATTTATTTGGGTTCAGTTAAAACTTGAAAACATCATCCCAAACTTTACAATTTCTCAATAATAGCAAATGCTTACTAACTTTTTTCTAGAATCTACTCTATTCATAGCAAGAATATATATTTCTGTGCTCAGAAGCAACCTTAGCATGGATCAAGGGAAATCAAATGATAGAAGCAGAATTGTGTTGATGTTACACAACCTCAACAATTTCTTGTGGTTGTTTTATGGTGGAGCCTGTAGTGACAGGAGGACCTTGTATCACTACAGCACGACACTGTTTCATTAATATGTTAAAAATGCTGGATGGTGTGGATGCCTTTGTCTTTGTATACAGAGACACTTGTATATGCATGTGGGTATATTTCATAGTATCCCCTGGAAATCCAAATTCTATGGATAAAATATGCCATTTAAGTTAAAAAAAACAAAGCAAGCAAATCTTCAAGAACACCTTACCCCCACCCTATCAACAAATCTGTTTTCTAGTTGGCTTCTTTCAGATGTGGGTGGGGGATGTCAGGAAATATCCCTTGCTGCTCCAAACACCTTGCACAGAAATGGCCTTCACAAACTGCACATCTCTCAATACAACATGTTACTAAGCTTACATTTTTGTAAAAAATGCAGGCATTTTTGTTTCAAATCTAATAAAATTAACTTATAACCATTTCATGGTTGACATGCATTGATTGCCCTACGCATCAGGCTAGAGAATAATAGCAATGTTGGTCCAGAGCTGAAGGACAAATACTTTGTGAGCATGAGTCACAATACATTAACAAGCTAGAAGAAACCAGATTCATCAGAGAAAGGTAATCATAGCAGTATGTTTCAATGAACACAACATGGATGAGGTAGCACTTATGGAAATGAGCATATTGTATAACATTCACTGTACTTCTTTCAACATTTCATACAGTAGAAAAATTTGGACTGTCCTGCAAATCATACTGATGAAGGACTAGGGAAAAAAGCAGCAACTAAAACAACAAACTTCTTGTGGAACAGTTGTGTTCTGCATCATTTCCAGAAACACCCTCAGATTTTATAAAAAAAAAACTCAAATTATACCACAAATGAAATTCTATTGTTCCTACAGGTAAAATCAATTTTAGCAGGTTGTAATGCAAACAGAGCACATAAACTGTATAATCTGATGATATATATATATTTATTTATTCTATCTTTTTTGAAATATACCATAAGTTGAATTAAGAATGTATAGATGCAACTTCAGAAGATGGGGGCACTCATTAGGTAAAACTTTTTACTTTTTCACTTTTACTTCACCATTGCACCAAGCATCTTTTTCCATGCAGCCTATTAGCATAACTCTACATACTTCTGTGGCATTCTGTAACACAATTCATTTCACTCTCTTCCATGCAACTTCTAGATTCCATTTTCTTATAATTTTTCAATGTATCATAAGTCATCAAGTAAATCATCATTTTAGATTTATAGTCACATCTCTATCATGTTTTAAGGCACTGCTGAAAATATAAGAATGATTTCCAGACACATATCAAACCATGATAATTCTCACTCATGGTTGGTGTCTGAATGGCTCATTCTAGAAAAATATACTTCCCCTGGATTACATTAATTTAGAATTTTGTACAAATCACATGTTCAATTATCAAACATTCACTGGATTTCAAATATTCAGCCTTTAACCTATTCCCCATAACATTCTCTTTGAAGAAAAGTATAGATGTAAAAAAGGTGTTTTATGGTGTTTTTAAAGCAAAATTTGGAATTCCTACATATTTTATAATACTGTATTTATTTATTAGACTCCAGGCAGCCGAAAACAATAAAAAAATAGAAAGTGTAAAGGTGTTACAAAATTAGCACATATCTAATTAAATCAAGAGAAAACAGATTGCATTGATATGAACTACTATGCACTACTGAGGTCTCTCCATTTGAAAAGTTCAACAAGTTTGGACTTGTTTTCTGAATAACAAAAAAGATGAGAGGGCTGCTGTTGAGAAGGCTGTCCTATAGGCCCCAGTCTTTTCTACTGAAAAGACTGATCTGCAACAAATGGCCCTAAAAGTAGCCTGCGCAAGCCACATAGATCTTTCCAATATTTAATCTTTATTGAATTATCTTGAATCAGTCCCAGAAGAGTACTGGCGATCAGTGAAGTGCCTACAAAATAGGTGCTTTACTATTAAACCAGTTTTAGTCTGTTCTAAATTCTATTCTTTATGTTGGTGGGTTACATCATTATCTGTAAGAGTTTGCTATGTAGATTTAGTATAGGCTTGTTGAGGCAAACAATTCCATTACCTTTTAACAAAGCTGTCAAGATAGCCAGATCAATATCCTGGTGTCCTTCTGACCCCATGCGAAATACTGTAATCTGAAATGAAAAAACAAACAAAAAGTTTGATATGTGCAACTAAAATACAGATAGCTATTAAAACAATATGTAAAATGTGCAGAGAGTCTAAATTCAGAGATATTGGGAGCAAACAAAACTGGTTTATATCAATACAGGAAGACAGATTCATAATACATAGCAAATATTAAAGATTTAATAGATCCAGAATCATCTTGGATGTTCAGAATTGCTATATGAATTCTATATGGAATATAATATGCAAAATATTTTACACAAGTCAGAATAATTCCTTGTCCTTGTCAACTATTGAGGGTAATTAAATTTCAGAAAGCCATTAATTAAGCAGAAATCAAACTTGTAGCAAAGATACCATTAGGATTTATATTGGCTAAAGTACTGTACTACTATGTCTCCACTATTCATCCATGTCGAAGTATGGATACGTTGTAATATAGATTTATTCAATATAAGCATCTTCTAAAATCTGACTGCAGGGTGCATAAGTAAAAATTGCAAGGTATAGTTTCTTCTATCCATGCAGCACAAATGAAATCATATACAATGTCCCCTAACCATAACCATATAGTAAATCACAGCTTCCTCATTAAAGATGAATCAGACAACTCAGCAGTAGATAAAAATTATCTAATAAAGCAGAAGCATGTGCCATTATCAATTTTTGTTGTGAATAATGACACTGATCTAGTTGAAAGCCTGTTAACCTAAGGTCAATGGGGTTCCTATGGCAACCAGGTGGGTTTTTTCCTGTATGCAAACAACAGAAAAATAGCATTCAACAATCACAAAAGGATGTGCTAAATACACAAATACTCTCCAAAACTACATTTTTAATGATGCCTGGCTGTGTGCTAGGACCAATGATCATAGGATTTCATTTAAAAAACACTTGTGCATCAGTCAACAAATAGGCAGTGAACCCTTAAAAAAGAAGTATGATATAGCCTTAAATTAATCAGTAGCACCAATATTCACTTGCCAATAATGATATACTCTGATCATGCTTGTAAATGCCTGCAACAGGGGATAGAAATAACTGAATTATGGACCTCAGCAGGGCATAGCCTTTTATGGGCTTACAGATGCATTTGGTTTTGAGCGCGATGCTGGGAGGTGCATTCTATAAAGTGAACAGGACAGATTAAGAATTGGGTGGGACCGGAAATGAATGCTAATAAATTTTGATATTTAAATTAAATTGATAAAATATAGTTACTATTACTCTGCACATATTCAATACAACAATTATAAAATAGTTCTGAGGGATGCAGCCATGTTTTGGGATGGCATGTGTACTCTCAGTAGGAATAAATGTGTTCTCTCCTTGTATTAGCCTTCCATGCTTACCATTTAATGTATTTCTATATTTATACTATTTTCTTTTTAAAAAATAAACTTACATGGTCCTTACTTTATGTTTAACATTATATAACTGCTATGAAACAAGACATATTTCATTTTGGGCTTTGGGCTATAATTCAGAGCTGGGACTGCTTTAGTTGTGTCATGGATGATCCAAGAAGAAAACTAAAAAAGAGAAATATATACTTAGTAGTTTGACCCTGGTTATCTCCCTGAGAAGGTTGAGCACCATAATAATTTGGAGAAATTATTTAAGATGTGCTTTCTCCTTATTACTTAAAGGTCACCCATTTCACTGAAGACCATATTTATATAGAATAATAGATTCATTTTGCATAGACAGAAAACAAGAAAGTTGCCCATGAATCCAATGTTATTTTCTCGCAACGTCACATGACGTATTGCGACTTTTTTTTCCATTGCCGGCAATGGGGTGAGCGCGGTTTCGGCATGACGCATCCGGCTTGTGGGCCGGCAGTTTGACACCCCTGAAGGAGAGGATTATAATTTGATCCAGCATTAAGACTAGTTAGAAATGAGCACGATTAAGGAAAAGAAAGCTATACATCCATGATCAGGCAAAAAAATATTTTCTCTTCTCAAAGGCCACCTGCAACCCATTTTAATCTGCTGTATTTATTAGTAGAGATATTCTTGACTTATGACCACAACTGAGCCCAAAATTTCTGTTGCTAAACAAGACAGTTATTAAGTGATTCCCACCCCCATTTTATGCCCTTTCTTGCCACAGTTGTTAAGTAAATAACTGCAGTTATTAAGTTAGTAATATGGTTGTTAAGTGAATCTGGCTTCCTCATTGACTTTGCTTGTCAGAAGGTCCCAAAAGGTGATCACATGACCCCAGGACACCATAACCCGTCATAAATGTATGGCAGTTGTCAAGTGTCTGAATTTTGATCACATGACCATAGGGATGCAGCAACAGTTGTTAAGTGTGAAAAACAGAAGTTACTTTTTTTCAGTGTCACTGTAACTTTGAACAGTCACTAAACAAACAATTGTAAGTTGAAGACTACATGCAATGCCTGTAAAAGGCGTATACAAATTAAAATGTTCCAGGTCTTTGTTCTTCTTCAGTGTTCTACCTTAGATGAGATCCCATGACTGCTAACATTGTAGCACAGGTGTTGCTGCAATAGGTATGCTGCTTGAGTCAAAGACTCAGGGGTGACTTAATAGAATAATTTATTATAATGTCAGCCTTACTGGACCTAAAAGGGAAAAGCTGAGTTACATTCTAATGTTTTGGAAGCACAACGAATGATAATGCATCCAGCAGCCTGAACTTTCAGTTTGTCACTTTGGAGGCAATCAAAACAAATATTTGGCCTAGTACTATAATTGTTCATGTTTATTTAACTGCTGCAGATGTAAATTATAAATGCAGAAGTACTTTGCTTAACAATAGGAAATGTTACTAGGAGAGCCTCTTGCAGCCTAAGTTACTCATACATTAAGTTTCTTAGACTAGAATGGTAATTCTATTGTGGTGTGTAGGTAGCAATAATGATTAAGTTGAATATGCCTGCCTGAATATTTTGATACAATTGTCCCTTGGAAGAGAAAATTAAATGAAAATGAACGAGTCCTCACACCTACACACAGTCTTCTACATGTTAGAAGAAAAATGTAATAAAAACCCATGAACAGGCATGCAGAAGTTACCGAGTTGTTTCCCACTTTCACAAGCACTAAGAAATATCATGATAAAGTGATGAGTCAGTGATACTGGACCCAGCAACTGCTGATTGCAATCAACTGTTAATAATAAATGGTGTGTATGTATTAAAACCAAAGTCATATAAAATATATAGCAAACTTCATGCCAGGGACAAATAACTTTGAATGGTTACTGAATGAATGGTCATTAAATGAGGACTACCTGTACTGCTTTAAAAAGACTATTTTTCTTTGTTTTTTATTTGCATTTTAATAGTTATTTTGTTGCACATTTCCCAGAATTGCTATAGCATTCGGAGGTCTTGCAAATCTAACAAAATAAATAAATAAATTTGCATAGTTTTCTGCTATCTTCTTCAATACAGAATTACCTTATGCAGATGTTTTGCTCATCTCCTTTTACAGTTGCTGGAACTTTTGAATGAAAAACAATTTCTCTAACACTGCACAGCAATCTTTTCCCTTGTTATAAAATTATTATTTATACAGTACTCTATTATTAACTATAAGTGAAATTTTGAATTCAGGAGTGGCCAATATATTAAACATATTTTATAAATAATGACAGGGGAAAAACAGCTCTGGCACTGAGTAAAGAAATCAATTGTATATATATAAATTCTATTTTATAGGAAGTGATGCCCATTTTAAATAAACTCTTCTGAACTAGGTTTTCATTTATCTTTTTTGATATGTGTTCAGCTTTCTCAAAATTTGATAAGGTGGGGATTATTTACACCATAAGTTATACTAGGAAAACAGCCATTTCAATTCAACCAAACCTCTAATTTGTCTACAGATGGATAAATCAGTTTGCAGTTAAGCATAATAAGAGAATTATTTTTTCATTTAATTCTATCAGGGAAGTGGAATAATGTAGAATTTTGTTGTAACATAATGAACATACTGAAGTTGAAATTCTACACTGATTTCTTGGACTGTCTTTATAAGTGTCTGTGAAAAAGAGAGACAAAATTGGAAGATGCCTCTTTCTAGAATATTTTTCCATGCTTCCAACTGTGCGCTGTAGGTAGTCCTTGTTTAATGAATGCCTCATTTAGCAACTGTTCGCAGTTACAACAACAATAATGAAAAAGTAATTTTCTGATCATTCCTGAAGTTTATGACCTCTGCAGGTCTGTAAAGGGAAAGAAAACTCAGGTAAAATCATAAGCACAGTTGTGGTTTCACTTAGTCACTGCTTCACTTAATGGCCAAGTTACTGGTACCAACTGTAGTAGCTAAACAAGGACTATTTATACATATAACTGAAACAGGGACAAAGGAAGGAATTGTTGGAGTTGTATGTCCTTTCAAACAAATAGTTCAGACAGCTTTGTGTGCAGGTCTTGGATTCGGTCCTTGGCACTAAGAGAGTATCTTTCTTCAAGACTTTCAAAGAGTCAGTTTTGTGCAGTGGGTAAGGCAGCAATCTAGAAACCAGGAAAGTGTGACTGTTAGTTGCCCCTTAGGCATAAAGCCAATTAGGTGACCTTGGGCCAGTCATATTCTTTCAGCCCTAGGAAGCCGCAAACTTAACAAGAAAACTACAGGGAATTGTCCAGGCAGTTGACAGGAGTCAAAAACTGATTCGAAGGAACATGTACACACACAAGGCTATTAAGTGACTGACACTCAAGTTTAACAAGTGTGAAGCAATTTTATAATATTCACTCAATTCACATTTGCCTGGATTATATATAGGTAGTCCTTGACTTACAACTGCAACTGAGCCCAAAATTTCTGTTGTTAAGCAAGACAGTTAAGTGAAATTTTCTCCATTTTACGACCTTTCTTGCCACTTGTTAAGTGAATCACTGAATTTGTTAAGTTAGTAACAAAGTTGTTAAGTGAATCTGGCTTCTCCATTGACTTTACTTGTCAGAAGTTTGCAAAAGGTGATCACATGACCCCAGGACATTGCAACCGTCATAAGTATCAGTTAGTTGCCCAGTGTCTGAATATTGATCACGTGATCATAAGAACCTAGCAACAGTCATATGCCACTTTTTTCACTGCTGTAGTAACTTTGAACGGTGACTAAATGTAAATTTGTAAGTCAAGGACCACCTGCATGTGCATTAATGTTTACGTGCATCTCTGGTTCATCCGTTTTTCTTCACAACTTCCTCCTTGAGAATTGTTGTAAGGATGCATTTGTAAGCTACTTCTTTTTTTCAACTAATAATAATCCATTACCTTTCTTCATGTATAATGAGATAAATGTTACGCTAATTGGTTTTTTATTGGTGAGGGCCCTGGATGACGTAGAGCAGGAGTAGGCAACCTCGGCTCTTTTATGACTTGTGGACTTCAACTGAAGTTGAGTCATAAAAGAGCCGAGGTTGCCTACCCCTGACATAGAGTAACTAGCCCTTTCACTTAGGCTTCACACTTCAGCATAAAACTGATAAAATATCAATTGCACTTATTGATAATTTGGACAGAACTGGGACAAGAGTGGAGTAACAGTCCTGATTGTCCTTTCTCTCTCAGTGGCTTTCAACTTCATTGATCATTATTACCTTCAGGACTGGCTTCAGAGTGGGAAGCATGATGTTGTTTGTGGTGGTTCTCCTTTCTATGCAGGAGGGGATGATACAAGGTTCAATACTCTTATCACAGGATTTCTCTCTCTACTCTACTTTTGTTCAAACAGTCCTTAGAAATATGGCTTTCCTCCCAGGCTTGGACCCAGTGGGTAGTGGGGCTCTTATTGGATTGGGCATATTTGGTTGCATAATTTACATATACATGAAGCCACTGGTTGAGGTCATCCATTCATTGGGATCAGGTATCATCAGTATGCTGATAATGCCCAGTCTTGACCCCATTTTAAGGAATGCTGTCAGTGTCATGAGGCTAGGAGAATCTGGATAGGGAGAAGATTGGTTGTCTGTGGCCATTTGGATCTCTGAATGTCTTGCTTGGGATTGGTGAGAATCTGATGGTTTTCCTAGACCAACAGCCTCTGTTCAAAGAACAGGTGGCAATTATGACCAGGAAAGCTTTTGCAGAAATTCATTTCAAGAGCAGCTGTATCCAATCCTGGACTGGGTGGCACACAGCTCTTTTTGCCTTGGTCACCTTGTGCCTGGATTATACAATTCAACAAAAATAAATAGATAATAAACTGTTATGGTGCAAATTTTTTAACACTTATAGTTAAAATATTTGCAAGATTAAAGCATTATCATATTTCCAACCAAAGAAAAGGAATAAGCAAAATAGTTTTATAACACTGAAACAAAAATATCCTTCACCTTGAACCACACATTCACATTCCTAGATCAAGGACTGTCATTTAATTTATGCAAGACATTTCACTTGCCAAAGAATTAGTTATTCACCATTTTAAAAAATGTATTTGTCATTTGATAAGATCTGATCTATTGATCCAATGGAAACATCTAAGCAAGATAAGCTTTCTTGATAGAGTCATTGTGAAGGACAGGAAGAAAGAGCACAACATGATAAAGAAAAACATGAGTCAAAGAGAGATTCACAGTATTCTGTTTCAGAAGAAAATGAAGCTATGAAAAGAACAAGAGGCCGATTGCTGATAAATAGCTTTTTTTATATCAGTAAGTTCAGAAAGTATCCAAGCACACTTTGCTTAAGTGCAAAATAAGACCTTGTTCCTCTGCTGAACTCTTTGAATCTTGAATGACAGAGTGCCAGGTTTAAAAATATGATAATTGTTTGATTCATAAAATCACAGAATGGGCACCTCTCTCGGTTTTCCAGTGAGCACTGGGAGATGAAATGCCAGAAGAGACTCCTAGAGTGCTGTTGGAGAAAGACAAAGAACGAATCTGACTGAACAAGAGTGAAAGCCCATATTTGGGCCTACGTAGTAGCAGTAAGAACAGTGAAGACTTGTTATTTCTCCACCCTTACTGTGTCTGCCAATAGTCACCCAACAGCCCTGTTTAGGGTGCTCCATTCCCAATTGGAACTGGGCCATAAAATCACCTGCAGGTCACAATGAAAAATATTCAGTCTCTCTTGCAGACAAAATCACTCAGATTTGCTCAGAGTCGGATTGTGACTGGGCAAGTCTTAGTGAATTGCCCAGGGCACAGTCTTGTTATATTGTCTGCACTTTTCTGTTACACCTAAGGAAATAGACAAGGTCCTTCTGTTTGTTAATTCAGTCACCTGTTTGTCAGACACTGGCAGTGTGGGAGGTGACCACAGGATGGGTTGATGCAGTGGTGTATCAATTTCTTTGAGAGAGGGGGTGATATGGCCCCTCCTCAAGAGGTCATTGCTGGACCTTTTCCTATTGGATAATTATTGTATCAGCCAGTTTCCAATCTTCCCTTTTGGTGGAAAGTTGTGGAAGATTGTTGGTATAACAGTTTTATAGTGGTATCCTTCTGGACTGCCTGCTGGAATTAGAAGTGGAAGGCACTTTGCTCTAGTGGCTCAGCTCCTTCTTTAGTAGTTATTTCAGCTGGGAAAGATTGCATCCATGGCTCAAAATATGTGGGGTGGCTTAAGTCTCAATATTCTTCTTCTCATATTCAACATTTGCATGAAACCACTGGGTGAGATCATCCACTTGTTCTGTTCTATATCTCAATGTCAATCTGCACAGGTGAAGGTGCTGATGTATTGACCCAGTTGTCTAGAGGTTATTTGGGTCTGGATGGGGCAGAATAGACTTTGGCTCTATCTTAATTTGACTTAGTGGATATGTTGTTTGTCTGAATGTCAAGTATGTAGTTTTGGATGGGGATACACTTACCTATTCAAGACTGCTGGACAATTTTTAGGTCCTTCAGGATTTGCAGCTATTGCTCAAAGAGCAACTTGCAGCTATGGCAGAAAGCATCTTTGCACAGGTTCATCTTGTGTGCCAATTATACAGGTAGTCTTCAACTTACAACCACAATTGAGCCCAATATTTTTGTTGCTAGGCGAGGCATTTATTAAATGAACTTTGCCCCATTTTATGACTTTTCTTGCTACAGTTGTTAAATAAATCTCTACACTTGTTCAGCTAGTGACATAGTTAAGTGAATCTGGCTTCCCCATTGACTTTGCTTGTCAGAAGATCGCAAGGGGTGATCACATGAACCTGAAACACTGCGTCATAAATATGAGTCAGTTGCCAAGCATCTGCAATGGTCATAAGCATGAAAAATTGCCATAAGTATCTTTTTCAGTGCTGTTGTAACTTTGAACAGTTAGTAAATGAACTGTTGTAAGCTGAAGACTACTTGTACTCCTTCCTCAACCCGGAGGCCTTTCAGATAATTACTTATGTCCTGGTCACCTTAGAATTGGATATTTGCAATGGTGATGCCCTTCAAGACCACCTGGGAGCTAGAGCTGATTCAAAATACAGCAGCATGAGCTGACAGGTGTCTTTTGGTATGACCATGTGTAATTATCACCACATGAATTATGTTGGCTACCAGTTGGCTTCCAAATGCAATTCAGAATATTAAATTATAAGACATGAGTATAAGAAAGTAGGATCGGACCTAAACTATAAACAGCTGAATATACCATTATAACCACCTTGAAAGGGGTTCAGATCACAATTGACAAGCAGGGCATTTAATGGTGCTAGCAACCATTATTAAGTACAATACCCTATTACAAGGCTAAATCATAATCCTTTAATATTATGCTACCTAACCATAAGGCAGGGATATACGATTATGGAAAGGATTAAACTGTTCTATCTGCCTGCTGATTTTTCTTTTGAAATTTTCCATCCCTTACTCTATTGGTTAAGGCACCAGGCTAGAAACCAGGAGCCTTTGAGTTCTAGTCCACTTTAGGTATGAAAGCTGACTGGGTGACTTCGGGCCAGTTACTCTCTCTTAGCCCAATCTACCTCACAGAGTTGTTGTGGGGAAAACAGGAGGAGGAAAGAGCATGTATATTCACTGCCTTGAACTATTTATATAAATAATAAAGATGGGATATAAATAAATAAGTAAAATCAATCCATGCCTGCTGTTAATTATTGCCTCAATAATTTCCAAAGTCCAGCATCATATATTGCTTGGTTGTGGGTTTTTTGAGATGAAAAAAGGAAGCTAATTCAGATTCACAATTAACATTGTGATTGGCCAAATTTGTCTTTAACTTAACATTTTCCTTATATATTCCCACTATTTGTGGCATATAGATGAAAAAAACAGCTGGAATTTATTAACACAGTTTATTTTTAGAATGGGATTTTGCAACAATAATTTGGAGATCAAAATTGGAACTTTTTCTTAGTAAAAAGGTGCAATATTTTTATTTCCTTTATCTGGAGTCAAACAAAATGGTTTTTTTGTACTTCCTTAATATAGCCACATGCCCCTGGGATTCAATAGTCCTCTTAGTTTCTGACTATGAATTTTTATACATCTGCCACCTAAATTTATATAAGCATAAACAATTTAACAGAATGGTGCTCCTTAATCAACAGAAGCCAACAGCAGTGCAAAAAGAGCTGTATCACAAAATGTAAATGTAAGGTTAAAAAAAGAGGAACAACTGAAGTGCAAAGCCAGACTTATGTAATTGCTTATACATGAATGACAAGAGAGTGTCTGGTGAGCATATTTTAAGGGTTTTCAAATTCAAACTGGTGTTTAATAACATTATCAAAATTAATTAAGTTTTCATATTCACAAGCGACTTTAATCAAACAAATAATACTGTTTGTCGTAAGACAAAAGTGGGTAGCCACAGCCAACAGCCCGTCGATTGTGATTTTTAGAGGCCTCCCAAGAGACGTGGCTGGGATCAAGGAATGCACTAATCTCTTGCTTCTTTCAGTCCCCCTCAGTTAAATGTTCATGTTTGTGACTCAAGTATATAAATTCCCTTTGGCTTCCTTCAGCCATAATTGAACACTACTTAATTTAGTGTTATTCAGCATAATACTAATTTAACAGGATATGGTGCTCCTTAATCAACAGAAGCCAACAGCAGACCAATGCAAACTAAGCAGCCTATCACAAATTAAATGGATTAGAAAAGAGGAACAACTGTCCGCCAAGGTTATGTCTTATACATGGACAAGAGAGTAGCATAACAAGGTAATTGGTTTAATCTCTCGTAGAGATTCATTGGGATCAAGCACTGAAAAATGTTCAACTCAAGGGCAATAATTGAAGTGTTATTTAAATTAACTAGACAAGGATTGCATCTAAATACTGATCACAAAAGTACTTAGCCATGTGTCATGCAATTGAGACCTCTTGAGAACATTATACTAAATTTTGCATGAATTCCATAAGGATTATGACTCCTGTGTCCGAGTGTAGGTGAAGGTTTTCTGGATAGTAACAAGTAATTGGTCTCTCAGAGATTCATTGATAAGCCTGAAATTTAAAAGGGCAAATAAGATTTAAAAATGACAGCATCTAAATATTCACAAATAAGCAAAACTCTTGAGTTTAAAATTGTGAATTAAGTAACTCCAAGTGTAATACCAAAACATCAAGAGCATTTAATTTAATTCTCTTGTCCAACAACATTTATTCTGCAGTGCTTGCTAATGATTGGTGGTGGGGGACATGAAGAGCTGAGTATTAGAAATTAGACCTCTGAGATTTCATCAAAGCATTGTTTGCATGGTTTCATAAGCATAAAGGCTAAAAAATGTACTTTCTGTTTCTTGTTTTAAAGTGAAAAATAAATTGTATATTTAGACCCATTTTGACTTTATCCCCATTTCATACTTGAAGAATGGCACGTATATCATTCTGCCTGGGAGGTAAGAATTTACTCTGTTGTGTTTCATATGATTACAATCATTATGTAATACAAAAGACAGGAAAAAAGGCAGATAAAAAATCTGCTTGAAAAATGACCTGCTGTTTCTTTATAGAATTGGTTTCAACTTCTAGATCATGAGATGAAAAAACAAAACAAAACCCCCTGGAATTAACTTCAGCAGCAAAAGGGTTTTTCAGATTTCTCTCTCTGTGATCAGAAAGACAGTTCTGACCTTGGAGCAGGGTACCTAATATCAGAACCACCTCCAGGCTCAGCTGAAACTTCCAGTACAAGCTCAGCTTATTTTGGAACTCTGACAATGAGAGATGGAGAAAAAGGGCAGATAATTTGCTTAATATATGCATAGAGCTTTGTGTATCACAGGGGTGAGCAATTATGGCAAGTTTACAACCTGTGGACTTCCAACTCCTAGAATTCCTGAGCCAGCATGACTGTAATTAAAACAGTACCAAACAACAATACAAAGTAATTAGTAAATTTAGGGACCGCCTTTACCTCACATGATTAGGCCAATTTAAACAGGGTGCTGGGCATTTCATTTGGAGAAGAAGGGTGTGATTGGTGTGGGAAGCCTTCTCTATGGCTTCCCCCCATTCTGTGAAATAAGTAATCTCCTGAGGTGTGCTGGGCCCCTGTGCTTCTGGCATCTATGAAGATACTTAAAATCATATTTCTAGAAACATTTGACATCTAGCTATAAATAATGGGTGACTTTCTTTTTTTAAAATTAATTTCATGTTGATTTTAATGACGTGAATGGATTTTGATTGTTTTAATCTATTATCCTTTTATACACTATCCTGAATCCTCTGAGTGGTGTGAGGTAATTCTTCAAGTTGTTTCCCTCAGAGGGAGAAAAGTTTTAGAAGAAGAGCAAAAAATCCAGATGCTCCGTCAGAAATAAACAAGCAGAAAAAATGAAGACAAAGTAAAGACTTGGACAGAAAAGAAACAGGAAAGTGGAAATTAAAGACATTTATAGGCAATTACAGGTTGAAATAGAGAATAATTTTATTATTAAAATTCAGTTCTACAATAGTTGAAGGCATTTATCATTTATAGACACCTTTTCTTTTATTTGTAAGCTTTTCTGTTTTAAAATAAAAGGCTTACCCATGCCCCAGCCACTGAGGGGAGATACAAAAACGCAATAAATTGTCCAAATTTTTAGTGCTTTGTGTCTATTGAGTCTGGGTCAATCTGGTTATTGGTGGGATAAAAAGAAAGAAGAAAGAAAGAAACATCCTATGACTCTATTCCTGTCTATTAAGAACTGCCTTAATTAAGGGAGCCTTTTCTGTCATGCCACCCAGCTCTGCTCCCTTTCCTTTCATAGAGGATGATACTATGAGACCATGACAAAATAGCACTGAGACAAAAATTGAAGATGGGAGACAACCTATGCATTACCATTTGAGACAGGGCTGTGGCTGTCAAGAAGGCCACGAAATCCTGGACTGACTGTGCTGTGTGGAAGAGCATTCCCCAAAAGCTCTTTGTGGTTTTGACTCTTTAGGAAGGCTTTAAAATGGCTCTTCCAGCAGGCACTGAGCCAAGGTGACTGGTGAACTTGCTTGATTATTATCAGATTTAAGCCTTAGTCTTTCTCTGTTACATTGTTTTATTATTTCGATTTTTTGTTGAATATGATATGTTTTTAACTTTCTTTGTATCCTGTCTTGCCTTACTTGACAAGTAGATGTCATGCAAACAGCCCGGGAAAAAGAAATGCGAACATTTCAAAGACGCCCTACCTTAATGCATTAATCAATAAAGATTTGCTGGACAATTCCAGTTTTGGTTGCAGATATTAGCTATTCATATATCAGCACAGTTTATCAATTTCAGAATTTCTTAATTACATTAACTAAATGCAGTCACTATTTAATTCAAAGTTAACTTCAGTATTCTTTCAAAATAAGAAATACTGTATTTTTCAGGAACTATAAAATTTAGAGGATGTTTAAAAAATATCATAATATATGTTTATTATATTCAAAACTCTAATGCTATGAGAAAATATTCTACAGGATAATCCAATCTTATTTCTAGCTGAGAAATTGAGAATTTTAAACATTTATCTCCCCTTTTGAAAAGTATATTGTGTCATAGAAACCCCAGCATTTATGCTTCCCAGCAAATAGTACAGAAAGAAAAAGTATAACTGAAAGGCATCCAATGAAGTATCTACTGTTATCTCTTCCTTATCTATACACTTTTATGTCTTTTTTATGTCTTCTTTTGTGTAGGTGACACAAAAGATGACAAGCATATTTTATAATCTGTATCTTACATCATTTCCATCTTACAATATTCTTCTTGAAATCTAATGACAAAAATTATAGAAATAAAAAGTACTGTTTGATCACATGACATAGTTCTTTTTAACAGAGTTTGATAATAGGAGTTTTAATTTTTATTTTTTTTCCTAATTATTCAGTTGCATAATTTCATATTTAGCAAGCCTACAGCAATTGCTCATTTGAATTTTTTAAAAATCTTGGATAATTATTTGTTGATCTGTTGATTTTCAATTTCTCAAAATGATCTAGAATTTTGACTCCTGTCATTTAGTTCCTTAGATTCCCTTAATGAAAATATATTCTGCATATTTGCCATAACTCCTCTGGAATGAACACAGATGAAAGAATTTATTAAACTTCTTTACAATCTTTATTCTAATTTAAAATTCTTTTAATCCTCTTATGTTTCAAAGAAATTATCTTCAGAGTTTCTTGCCTCTGACCTATTATTTAAACATTTTTAGTCTTAAATTACAAGTAATATATTTTTAAGTCAACTTTTTTTTAATTGTAATATAAAATCTGTTTCTTATTTCAGCTATCTTTCCAACAAAAGATAAGCACCTTTTTCTGTTCCTTGATAGTGTTGATTAATTATTCTTATGTCCTCTTGAGTTTAAGATTGATAGAGTTGAAAGGGGTCATTTAGGCCATCAACCAGTGCAGGAATCCAAATTAAAATCTCTGCCATCCAGTCTGAAAACATTCAGTAACTGTCTGCAATGATTGATTCAACTGTACTGTTGTGGTTAAACGGTTTAAAACCATTTTCTTAATGTTAAGCAAAATTGGTCTCCTTGTAATTTAAGATTATTATACTGTGTCTTGCATTTTAGGATAATATTGGACTTGCTGTTATTTATTCTGGACTTGATATAAATGCTAGTTAAGCTTTTCTGCTGAAAAACACTTAACCCTCCTGGCTTCCCCTTTAAAATTATTTGCATTAATCTTTTCATCTTAATTTCTTTTTAAATAAATTCCTTTTTGAAATAAAATATGGTTATGTTAGTTTCCTTTGATACTTTTTCACTTACCGATAATAAATCAGTGACACTGTAATCTGTAATTTCAATCAATTCAACAAACATTACATATTGTTCTAGATCAAGGATGGGTAATTATGGCAACTTTACCGACCTGTGCACTTCAACTCCCAGAATTCCTGAGCCAGTTCCACTTCATCAGTCTTAACTACATTTCCTCTATTACTATCATGAGGTCACACTTCTCCAGTCTGAATGATTACTATATCCTTTCTTTAGATCTGTCAGGTGGATTAGCAAGTCAATGTTTCGTTCACTCTTAGCATATAGCTTGATATAGAGGAGATGGTTGATGGTAGTTCCACTTTTGAACTTGAATCTGTATCCAATCCTTGTAATTATCTGGCTAATGAGGCTCAAGCCTTTGCAGAACAGCAGCAGGGTCAGTGCATCAACTTAGTGTATGCTGCACTTGATGGGCACTTGTGCGAGCTAGCTTGAGTTGACTTTCAGTGTTGTCTTTCACAGTCCCACTGAGTTCTTAAGAAGGAATCTTAGCTGACTTTGTATGGTGCCAGGCATTCACAGATCCACATGTGTGACGTTGTCATAGACCTAATATTGGCCATGCTCAGATTAGTCTGTCTAGGACTTGATTCTTGGGTAACTGCTCTATCTAGGAGCAAACGATGTTTTGACCCTTTGGTGTTGTTTCCAATGCCTTTCTGAGCTGTGCTCATGTACTCGTCCAAATAGTCCTGTCGCTTGGCAGCTATGATAGGGCTTTCCATATTATGGCTAGGCAGGTTATCATCCGATAGATAGATGGTGCTGTTCCTTTGTGGGGATCTTTCATGATCACACTGTCCTTTGTGTTAGCTAATCAAGGTGGGAGCCTGTTGCTAGCAAATGGTCCATCTGTGCTACTAGGTGTTCATGCAATGCTATAAGTTCTTCAGCAAGTAGGCATGAATCATATCTGGGCCAGGTGCTTTCCAGCTTTTCATGTTCTTGACCCACTGTTGGATGCTTGCTACCATGGTGGTGATTGGTTCTTGTTGCTGTGGTCTGCTCTCAGGTGCTCCAGCCACTTTGCAGTGGTACTATGTGTCATCTTTTTCTCTAATATGTTCTTTTAGTACTGTTCACATTTTGCTGTTGGTGACTCTGCTATTACTGTGTTGCTGCACTGCAGTTGGTAATACACTTTGTGTGGTTCTTCAGTGGTAGTAAGGTATGTCTTGAGGGCTCTATTGGCATCTTCTAGCATACCATCTGATGGTACTTCTTCACTGAGCCTTGGTAATCAGCCTCAAGGGTTGATTGTAGCTAGTTTATCCATGATATTATGCCTCATAACAGTTGCTGTGTAATAAGAGAATGGCAGTGACATTCAAGCTTTAGGTGTTGACTGCACATCCAGTTGTTCTTTCAGATCTTCTTGAGTCTGGGATGTAATTGTTTATCTCAGGTTGTGAGAGCAGCTTCCTTCTCACTATGTTGAAGCATTGTTAAAGCATTGGGTAAATAGCTCTCATGTAGGCCTTCTGTCCATTTATAGTTCCCTCAAATATTTAATATATTCCTCTCATTGTTGTATAGAGTTTAATTCCAGGTTCTCTTGACTTGACCCTTTCAGTAGCCCACTTATTATCAGTTTATCCTGGTTCCCCAAAATCTGGCATACATTTTGTTAATCTAGGTCACAGGTGTAAAACTCGCCACATCACATGACGTGTCACGACGTATTGCGACTCTTTTTGCATTGCTGGCAATGGGGTGGGTGCGGCTTCAATATGATGAAACCGGCCCGCAGGCCTGCAGTTTGACACCCCTGATCTAGGTGATGTCTGAATTAACATGACTCTTTTAGTTCATGTCACTCTCATATTTGAGTTAGGCAGGTGAAGTGTTTGGGGGGGGGGTGTCTTTGCCCAAGTATCTCTACTGGTAAGGTAGATACCAACATGATTGAAACCCAGTTTCCCATGTCATATGGTGGTGTTCCAACCACTAAACTATCCACTTCTTATGCTACAATCTCAATCTCTCTCTCTCTCTCTCTCTCTCTCTCTCTCTCTCTCTCTCTCTCCCCCTCTCTCTCTCTCTCTCTTTGTAGTCTATCTACCTGTGGACAAGCTCCTTCATATAAGCAAATTCTCCACACATCTTCTACTGATTAAAGGAATCAAAATAAATAACATTTAACTGTGAACAATTATTTAAACAATTAGAAGAAATGTTATTCTACTTAACAGAAATCTTGTTGATCAAATCTGATTTCTATTTTTGTCACCAAAATTTCTACCTCTCCATCTGCTTTCTCACTTGCAGGGAAAAGCAAAGGAATCCATATGTTTGCCCATTGCAGATGGGAAAGCAGCTGTGTTAGGAGTAGATTTTGGTAATAAAAATAGCGTGGGCAGAAAGGATTAGGAACTTCATCTGTCAGTGCTGGCATTCAATTAAAATCAAAATCCTTCTATTTGCATTCTACTTTTAAAAAAGAAATTGAGAGATTATTACACCTATGTATCCATTCTACACTAACTTTTATTTTAAAATGCAAATTAAATATTTGATGAATATTTTTTCACTTGCCTGGAAAATATCATACTGATTTATACATATCATGTAGTTTTAAAAGACTTTTTTCAAGTTACTTTCAGTTGTTTTTACAGGAGCGTTTTGGTTTCACATAGACCTAGTAAAGACCCTTTAATGAAAAAAACAAATAATGGCAAACAGGTCTATGAAAGAAAGCTCTTAACCAGATTTTCCCATCTTTCACAGCTGCAGGGGAGTATTGGAGTCATTCCAGGGCACAGAATAAATTTTTCCAGCAAACTATCCAGGTCCATTAGCCTTGGACAGTAGTGTCTTTCAGAATGCAACTATTTCTTAGTAAACAACTGATAAGGACCTAAGGAGACAGCATTTGAAAATGACTACTTTAAAGTAAAAAACCTTAAAGTTATTTTTAATACATTTTTTTTCAAATACATGGAAAAGATATTCCACCATTTTTACTGGATTTACATCTGATCCGCAGTGGGAACCTACAAATATATTAAGATGTATCTTACGGTCACGATGCTTTGGTTCACTTTTCAATGTTTCTGAATTAGGAATTCACACAAACATCTTTGTGTGTGATGTTTGTCTCTTTGGGTACACATGCTTTCTCTCGCTCTTAGCACTTCTTAAACTGGATTCCTTCAGGTTTTGGATCTCAATTTCAACTATTTTCAGTCAACATGTTTCCAACAACATTTCCTTGAAACATTAGTAATCTCATAAAGCTTCCACATAACTTCAGTTATCTCAGGAACTGAGAAATATGAAACAATTCATTAATTCTTTTATATTTTAAGAGTGATATTTGAATGAGTGCACATATGTATTTTTGTTCAGGGAATCACTGGTGGATATTTTGCAGACTGACAACATTTTAATAAGGATATTCCTCTGCTACCCAAGAACAATGACTTGTATTATATTTTAATCAATATGTATATTTAGAATTGCAGATCACATTTATTTATTTCATGTAAGAATATTTAGGACTGAAGATGACATCTATAATAGCATAAAGCAGACATGTCAAACTCGCAGTGTCATGTGACATTGCGTGACGTATTGGAACTTTTCCCTCATTGCTGGCAATGGGGTAGGTGTGGTTTCCTCATGATGCGTCCGGCCCGCGGACCGGCAGTTTGACACCCCTGGCATAAAGCATATAAAGCAAATAGATTTTTCAACTGTCCCAGGATATTGAAGCAGAAAAATGGGCTATAAATATTTCATAAAGACAGAAAAGTAAATAAAAAAAATTAACACGCATCAGTCAAACACTAATGAAGCTTAACTTGTTGCAACATGACATTGCATCAATTGAAAAGTAATTTAGTAGGAATATATGACATGGGATGAGAAATGTGTATCAGTTTTCTCTGTGTCACCAAGGGGATGCAATTTCTTTTATGAGGTGTGCATTACCTGTTTCTTCCAGTCACTTCCATTTGTCATTAGATATGCCAGAAGGACCTCAAAGCAACTGGAAATGAAGCAGCATGGCTTCTTCAGTCCTTAGAAGCCGAAGATCATGTTGCATTATGAAAGTAAAGCACTTCTTCAAAGTTTTAAACAGCCCTGGCAATTATGCATTGATCCAGCAGAATATATATTCAATTTGACCTTTCCCCTCTTTAGGGGATGCAGTTTGTAAGAGTGATACCTGCAAAAATTCATTCTTTCATTTGGCAGACTGATTTTAAGTCAGACAGACCTGAAAACAAAACACTCTCACACAAGACCTGCTTTCTTTGCTATGGGAGATCCAGTAGAAACAGATGGCAGAGGCTGGCATATTTCTGTCTGACTTAGAAATCTCTTTTGAATTGATGTCCTGTGTCAGACAAGATAAGTCTTTCCCCACTAAATTGCACTGCGGTCTTTCAGCTATGATTCCTGCTAAACTGCAATGACCAGATGCATTTGGGACTCTCTTGTGTCCAATTATAAATTATTTAGTAGGCTGTCACTAGATAACTTCAAGTATTATTTTGGGGAAAAACAGTAGATGCTGCCAGATCTAAGCTGCTGTTCAAATACATTTTATTGATAAGATTAGTCAGTACAATGGATTATGATTTTAATTAATCTTCTCCACATCCTTTTTTTTTTTCTCCTTTACATTTTGCAACTTTGCTCTTCCTCCAAGTTTCATGTTCTCAAGGGCTAGAAAGTCTGGGAGGATACAGAGCAATGAAAGGAAACAAACAACAAATAGATTTGCAGAAAATACAGCATCAGTCTCACATTGATCTGCAATATAACAGGCAAATGTCCCATGCATATCTGCAGAATAATTTTGACAATATGGTTTAGATTATGAAAAACTTATAATTGAGCACATGGGGCATTAAAATGTACCAAGAGAATAAGGATAAGGATAAAGATTATGGCTAAATAACTGCGTTATTTAGTTTCATTTTTGAACACTGCAATCATCTCTTCAAAGATTTTGCTGCATCTGCTCCATATTTATTAATACCTCAAGTCTGAATATTTGTATCTTTCAACAAATAGACATTTAAGATATTAAAAAAGAACACTTGATATTGCTTATTCTAAGCAGAAAAACCATAATATGCGGATGTGTGAATATAGTGCATGTGGATTAAAACTATGGTCCTTGTAGTGTTAAACTGAACCTAGTAGGGACTTTTCACACAGGCTGTACCTAAGAAAAATGATTATGCTCCTGCTATTTCTGAAATATTTAAATATGAAAATGACTTGAGTTTGCAAAGAAAGATTTATATGAATGAAGCGTTCTGCTAATAGACTTACCCTCCTTCTTCTGAGTATTTGTGACCAAATGCAAGGATGTCAGATGCTCGGCCACTCCCATCACATACTACTACTGGAACTGGGGGTGTATCCCGCAGATATTCCAGGACGATGGAGATGACATTGGGTCCACCTTCTACAATAAGGGCCACTACGGGTACCCCTTGACCAATCCCTGTTGTGAAATAAACAAAAGCAAAACAAAAAAAAGCAGGCAAATCAAATCAAAATACACCAATAGAAACTGAAAGTACTGCCAATGCTATTTTGCTTAAACAACATTAATAAACTATGTGTAATTCATATCTTTGTCTTAAAGTTCATCTTGTGAGCATCCAAGTTATAAAATAATAAACTGACAAGAGTCTGCTTTTGAAATAAAGTTCACCACGAAACAAGGAGGGAGAATGAAAAAGCACCCCCTCCTCCCCACTTTGTAATGCTTGGCCAGAGCTTTCTAACTTACAAGTAAGTCATATCTGAAAGAGATACAGGACATCTGTATAATATCATCATAAAACAAGAAAGTTCTGCTGCATTTCAGAAAGTACATATAGTTCTTATAGGAATGTAATCCATGAATGCAAAAATTTTCTATTTACTTTGGATAGGATCAATAATTCTGAATAAATAATAAACTTGCATGTTTTATACATCTTCTTTAGAAGGGAATTTAATACAGGAATTCTATTTCAGCTCTTAATTAAGTCTACTTTTTCACAATTGTAACCTATAATAATGATCCCGGTTAGCTGATGCAATAAAATAATACATTAGAATTTATCTAGATTGTTATTGTGGAAGCATTCCAATAAACTGACATAACTTTGCTTTTGAAATGTAGTCACCATGAAATGAGGAGGAAGAGAGAAACTCCATAGCATATAAACTTCAATCTAACCCCACTGAGGAGCACCTAAATTGATTATTCTAGTTGACAGAAATAGCCATGAATGTTACATTTCAGAAGGACTCAGGTCCTGCTTATGACACCTATCATAGTTTGTCCATCTCAAGTGGTAAGGCCTTTCAAGAATCAGCACTGTTAATAGTATAACACTTCAAATATATTTAAAGGTATAAATCGGGTTCTATCGAGCAATGAACTTTTAATTGTTTTAAAGATCAAAAAACCCTCCACATTTCATATTTCAAAATTCTTTTTCATACAATTTTCTCAGAGTTTCTAATTAGCTTTTCTTTGTTAGCTTTTAGGTAACTTTAGTGGTGAAGTCTCTAGGGTATTTTGGACAGGAGATTTAGGCAATAATTTCTAATAATCTCAAAGAATGACTCTCTTCCCACACAGCTAGCAACTTGGATTTATCTATCTGTATCCAGCGCCAGCTCAAGGATAGCTGGCACCCTGAATGACAATGACTAATGGCACTACTTCCAGCTAATGTGAAGATTTGCATTTTTAGAAGCACTTAGAAGGAGCGGCTGTGTGGCTGCTTTAGTGTCCTGGGCTAATGCTTAATTGGCCTGAACCTAAAGCTTGCCCTGCATGTATTTATTTATTTGCACCTAAATGAAAATGAAAAAAAAAGCAGCTTGTTTGCTCCTGATTTGTCCTGGCTGACTATCTCTCACAGAGATAGTCATTAATTTTGAATTTGGGATTATTCTCCTTGGTCAGAGATGAGAGAAAATGAGAAGTGAAAGCAGAAACCTATCAGTCAGAAATATATATCACTGGCCAATTCACAATAAAAGATGACAAACCCTCTTTTTCATATATAAGGCATTTGTAATGCCTTGATTAAAACTTTGGCAATCTAGAGATAATTTCCATTTAGGATTTTCTCTGTAAGATTTAAAATTGTAATTCATAAATACACAATAAGTAAAACTTATACATGAAAGATTTTATTTCCATGGTTTCTACAATCTTCTCCAGTTGGGTTAAGCATACCTTTCCAGAATCAATAGAAGTTAAGCAGCAAACAATTTTAAATAATAGTAACAACAACTTTCCCTTAATTTCCAGAAATCAGACCAAACTTTGTGCTGTGAAAATTTTATGAAGCTAGAGAGACCAAGATTAGCTGACCATTACTTTTGCGGCTATTGAAAAATATAAAGGAATAAATTGTCACTATGAAGCAAATGTTATATAATAACATTTATTGTTCCTTTTTATTTATATATGCTTGTAGCATGTATTACAGTGGTGGTGAACCTAGGCACTCAGAGCCCTTTCTGTGGCAACGCGCTGTGGCCTCAGCCTTGCTTCCCCCCGCAGCTCCCTCCTCACTAGCAGCCCCCCCAGAGAAGAGTCGCCCCTGCGCGCAGCCCATGTGAAGCAGTGCAGCCAAGGAATGGCAGCTGGGCAGTGGGGCCAAGACTCCGTCCTTGTGCCCCATCACACGCAGTTGATGCTGTGGGGCGCGGGCAGAGGGCGTGGATGCTATGGTGCTGCTGGGCCACCTAGGTGATCTACAGCAGGCTGTGGTGGTTGTGGTTGGCTCTGAGGATGGGGCAGCGGGCGGAGTGGGGGCAGGGCCGGTTTTGGGGCACTCGGTCTCTAAAAGGTTCACCATCACTGATATATTACATGTAATGTCCAGTAGGGGAAAAATGACACTTCAGCATTAGTGAATAATTTTCTCCAACAAAATATTCGGATTGTTACAATTTTCTAGTGCCATAAAAATGCTGTTTTGATGTTTGATTCCATTTATTTGCCTGCCTGTTAATCTCTAGAGAGATTGCTTTCACGTGCATTATATTAAGGACTCACAATGACTTCAGAATGGCTCCAGAGAAGCTGCAGTTCAAGAATGCTGTGTGGAATGAACTGAAAGCATTTTTTTTTATGCTAGATTTTTAATGATTGCTTGTTTGCTTATTGGACCTTGAATTGCACTCAAAAGATTTGGGACTAGTTTCAATTTGGCAATATTGAACCTTAAATACAAAAGGTTAATGGATCTTCACTTTTTATTGCTCTCAGTGGCATATACCTGTAAGCCTGTTTATGGCATCCCAGAACGGTGTCAAAATATATTACTGTGGTTACCCAATAGGAGGACAAAGGTTTATCCAAAAGGAAGATGAAGTTTTCCCACCACTTACCTTTGAAAGATAAAAGTAATCTTATATCCACTGAATAGAATTCCACCAAGAGTGAGATCTCTAAAGCATATATGAGTGTGCAGATGAAGCCCTCCTCTTATGAAGTCCATTACAACTTCTTTCCCTTCCTGCCCTATTGCAGACCATCTACCCAATAAGGTAACAAGCGGGATTAATGCTCCTGTCAGCCTTCCACTTGAGTAGAAGTATACTATGGCATAGTGACTGAGCAGGATTAAAAACTTAAGCATGCTTACTTGGCAGGAAGAGATGTTGAACTCAGTAGGACTTACTAGAGTCACTGAGTGTGTAGATTTATGCTGATCCCAACATAAAAATCTGCTAAACCTTCTGTAGGCTCTTTCATTTCCTGTCTAGTCTCATCAAAATCATATCATGTCTATTTCTTTTTCTTTCTGTCCTTTGTTGTCTATTTCTCCTTCATTGTTTTTTGCTTAGGAGTGGAAGAAGAGGTGACTCTGCTTTTGTCTATAATATGTGAAAAACAAAATCGTTTCTGTGCAGATAGGAGGAAAATTACCTTATTTTATAGGCAGCTTATTTTAATCAGTAGATAATTCAGTTTGCTGGGTTTTTTTTCCTGGTGTTTCCTTTTTTTGAGAATGGTCTCTGGCCAATACACACACACACACACACACACACACACACACACACACAAATACTATGTGCAAATACATAAACAAATGTTACATTTATTGTTGGGAAAATCTAGAGGTTTTGTTTAATCTTGAATTGATAGGAAGTTAGATATTCTATACGATTTCCATGTGGGCCTATACTTTTTCCTCTTTATAATCCTTTTTTTCTCTTTATAATCCTTTTTTTTCTCTTTATAATCCTTTTTTTTCTCTTTATAATCTTTTTTGACCATTTTAAATTTAGAATTGACTTTCTTTTGAGCAAATATTGTAGCAGCAAACTGACACTTCATCACGAATACGGAAAACCCTAACGGTTCCAAAATTTCCTTGCTTAACTTCTAAAATACACTTAGAATATGCACTAGCTCAGATTTAAAACTGCAGAACAGCCTGATATGCAAACAAATAACAAGAAGAAAGGAAGATAGAAAGAAAGGAGGAAAAGAAGAAAGGAAAAAAGGAAGGAAAAAAGTCGATGCATTGAGTTTAATGAGGCATTACTGTTTCAAGTCATTGTCATATATACAATAAAATACTTAAAATATGTTAGGTTGGATCCAGAGTTTCTATTATCTCTTTCAGTTCTATTCATAATGTGTCAGGCAACCAAAAATGTGATAAGATATCTTTTGGGCATTTTCCCTACTTTTGAATCATAGAAGGTTTTGTGGAACACGTGAATGTGAACTTCAGGGGAAAGGAGCAAATGGAAATGCATTCCTGCATTCAGTAAAAGAAAAGGTCCCAGGAGGTTTCTACTGGATCCATCCCACCATGTGAATGACAATACATCCAGCCAATTCTAAAAGAAAAATTCACAATGTAACCTGGATGTTTACAAATCTCTTATTTAACCTGCCTCTCTGTTACCACTTTTGTTCTTTGGATTCAGATTCAGCACGGCCATCCATGTTCTATTCTAACTATGCCAAACACCAAGGAAGCATCGAGGGCACAGAAACATATTAAATTTTGAACAGAAAATGAAAAAAAAAAAGATTGGGACATAAGCAAATGAGCATTCCAATGCGTTTGATGATAGTGCAATGATCAAAGAAGATGCCGGCGATGACAACTGAACGTCCCTTTGCCTTCCCAGCCCCCTTCATATATCCTCAGGCATAGGATGACAAAGGGAAGTCCACAGGTCACATGAATAGGTACTGCAGACACTTTACAGTATTAGAATTTGCCACTTGTTTTAATTTTCCCTATATTCGTCTCCAGTTCATTTTCTATTCTTGTTGAAGATGAATAAACTTAGTTTTGTAAATTTACTTCAGATGGACTGCAATATGCTGCACATATATTAACATAAACATTTAAGATTTGTACAAGTCAATCAGTCTGAATATTACCTAATTTGGATAAATAATGCAAAATGTTTGGTTCTTATGTAAAAAAAAAAAGGCACCTCATGAAAGTATTTTTTACA